TCCATCAACAAAAAATTCAAAATATTGCAAAAATATTTTTACTCTTGGCTGACGGGGACAAGTTGGAGGATCGATAAACAAAAAGAATAGCTAGAAAGTATAATGGAAACAGACTTAGTGTGAATAAATGACGACGTACAGTACATGAAGCATGTAACGTAAATGTTCACTGAAGCTTCGGATTAACTGAGGGGACATATGAGTATATGGAACAAACATAAATACCATATTTCCATCATGTTTTCTACATTGTTAACCACCGTTTGAGGTTTGACTGGCGTTCTATTTATTACATCACCCTCTCCTTCTGCAATGGTCTGTTAGCAACAGGCTGGAGAATGAACGCCACTAGCTGATTCTCTTAATGCACTGACCATAATATTTGCACAACAGTGTTGGATGAAAACACAAATTAATTTTCTTTTGCAGATTTCCTGGAAATTTCCTGAAAAATTAATTTGCTATGAGTTCCAATAGCCATACTACCATACTATTTAGTATGCCAGAAAAATATTTAGTATCTCCTAACACAAAATACGTCAACTTCAGTATGACAAAAATCGCTTTTTGCAGTATTCAAGCCGGCATACTTTTCTGGGTATTCCAACCAACAATCCTCAGCGCAGCGGATATATGAGCAAGAGGGTCAAAGTTCAAGTGCAACGTTATGAGGAAGTAGTATATCCCAACTGAATGCATAATGCCTGCATGCTATGTAAGGGCAGTTGCAGTATGTACTATAAATAAAAGGAACAAGTATGCTAGTTGTAACGCAGTGTCAGATGGGAACTTAGCTGTCACAGCTTCCTGAGATGCTAGAATAGAACTGAGTCATGGTTAATGTCATTAGTGATTTCAGTGCCCGATTCTTCCCAGCTGCCCAATCCATTCTGCACATGCACGGGAGAGCATACCCAGTATCCGGTGTTGGAAGAGCCTCCCCTCCCCTACTCTGACTTTGATTGGCTACAGGCTACTAAACATTAACGTTAACTATGTATGATGCTAACCAACCCTTCAAAGAACTAGACAGGCCACGGGAGATCACGTTTTGTTCCAATAGTTCGTTAGGCTATTTCTTTATTATTTACAATTTACATTTATTATTTAAGAATAAATTCACTTCTGATCATTGTTGAGGCGAGAAATAAACTTTGTAGATTTTGAATATTGTCAGTTTTAAAAAAAATTGATATTATTGATAATATTAATATTTATTATGATTAGCCCCACTGTGCTCTGCTCCTCCGCAATAGAACCACACAGCAGGGTCTGTGGGCCTGACTAGCCCGCTGGCTAGCAATCAACCCCTGCAGGTGTTAGCTTCGCCTCAAACCAATTTTTTGAGCTTTATGACTCCGATAACATCAGGACAATTTTACAATTCACCATCAATTTTAGTTGATTTGCAAATATTTGCAAATATTCAAAATCTACACAGTTTATTTCTCACCGGGGAATTTTAAAAAAGCAGACAATAGTTTAAAAAAAGAATAAAATAAAATACTTCAGACAAAGTGAACCTTCGAACTACGGGACAAAGTTAGCGTTAGCGTTTAGCAGCCAGTAGGCAATCAGAGGCAGAGTGGGGGCAGGTCTTCCAGCAAGGCATACAGAGTAGAACGGAACATACGCAGCACAGATCGAGCAGCTGAGACGGACTGGATACTGACACTGACATGTAACACCTGTGCTTTTCTTTTGCTTCTCTTTTCTTTCCTTTTCATGACAAGAAAAAAAAGCCCGTGGCCACTTGTTACAGAGTTACACAGTGTTTTGAATTACCTGTATTACTCATTACCCCGACTTTTGCTCAACATTTTTTATTTGAACGTGTTTTTCTATGGTATGAGTGGTACATTTATGTAATGTTACTACTCCACCATACTACAAGTGAGCAGAAGTTACTGCACTGCGGACTCTGTGAGAATGTAGAAACGTATTGTCCAACCATAAAATTTAGTAGGTAATTATTTTTGTCACAAAATGTTAAAGTTTATTTTATTAATTGTATTGATCATCATTTTTTACCAGGCTGCAGTCACTACTTGTTATTCACTCTGGCCGTGTTCAATTCCTCTTTTGTTATCCAAACAAAAATCAATGCCTGCAATGCACAAATAATGCAGGAGTACCTGAGCTTGGTGTTATTGTGCTGAGATTCACATTAACAAAGCAACAAGGGGATGACGCGCTCACACACAGAGCCTTACATGGATATTTGCTCTGTAGCCAATGACACTGTAACTCTATACTTGTTGGGGAGTGATGTGGTTTGTGTTGCTTTTATTGATTGTTATTGTGTCAGACATTATCCCTGTTATTGCTGTTAACTCAATCAAAATGTGTTACTACAGACTTCTTGTTTGTGCTTTTCTTTCTTACAGCTATCGTCTTTTTTGCAGGACAAGCATTCAGATGGCATCTACAGTACAGAGCAGTACAGTACATTAATTGCAATGTGATGTAAAGCCAATTCATCCACAGCAGCACAACATCTTCCGTAAGAAAACCAGACGCGATACCACAAAGCCACAACTGTCATTAGTCCAGAAGAAAATCTGCTGCTACCAGACATACATGTCTCATTTGGATGGTGTGTCTTACTTAGGTGGTGATCAAAAACACATCGGGCTCCTCTTCAAAGGGAATAAGAAATATCTCATGTCTTTTTATATAATGTAGAGGCCACAGCAAAATGGAACCATTCTATACGTGCGCTGATCCAAGATACACACATTTTTCTCTTTACTTGTGCATAAAGAAAACTTCAGTCAATCCAAAATATTAGATATAATAAATGCAGAACAAAAGGTTACTGTGTCAAAAAGGGTACACTGTTGTTTGTTATTATCTAGTAGGAAGGACACAGAGACAATGATTGTGTAGCTTTAATCTGTAGTGAAAAACTTCAACTTGTGTTCCAGACAACGGTTTTGCACACATAACAAAAACAACAACAACAACAACCTAGATCTGGGGAGTTGGGCAGGTTCTTCACTAGTAAACACCAAGCCTCATAAATATTTCATCTTATTCTGTCTCTGCTGTAACACCTGTTCTGGCAAGCACTTCTTGGCACAGTAACGCCTCCGCGTGCTTTTCATATTTCAGAAGAGATCCTCCGTAATACCACGCCGTGTTGTCAACAAAGAAATTTAATTTAATGTTCAGCATTGCATGTTTGCCTGTTTTATTACTGAAATTGTGTTATGATTCCTATAGCATAGGAATAAAAAAATTAAAAAAACTAAGTTTAGGTGCAGTGCTGCAATCCTGAATACTCAAGGAGAGGTTGCCATGGAAACAGAGTTACATTGGCCAGGAATGAAAGCGTCTGAGGATTTAGACTTTCACTGTACATCAATTTTTAACCATAGATTGTTTTCACATCAGCCCTTTCCACTGACTTCACATAACCACAAACTGCTCCTCCATGCAGAAATCTCTGTGACGTAAAAAACGGGAGCATAACATTCCCGAACCACCCAGTTCAATCGAAACTGAGATTGTGACTATAATAATGAATACGAGGACACGTGCTTCTGTGACAGTCAGTGTCATACTAAAAATACCCGCTAATATATCAATAATAATTCAGTCACATCGCCACAATGAATAATTCCATACTCTAGAAACCAAAGCAACCTGTACACAACAGCAATTTTACAATTACTACATGTTTAATAGATAATCAACTGAGAGAAAGAAGAAACAAATAAAGAAACATCAGGTGTTTAAACAGGGAGCAGACCAATTTATGTTGGACATATCCAACACTAAACCCAAACTGTACTCATACTCCACATTGTAGTACACTAACATCTATATGCACCATGCTGGAGAATATGTCAAATCTCATCAAATTGACATAAATGCTTCAGTCATAGACTGAAGAATCTTTACTTAAGTTACATCTGAACTGCAGAATTAATTAAATGAAACTGCATTAAATGATTGAAACTATCTATTAGGAACTGAAGATCTTTGCTAATTGTGATCTGCTGCGTCGGTCTCCCTGTCACATCTCCACATGCTGTTTTCTCTGAACCAACATATTACATCTGCTCCTCTGTTCACTCCATAATCCTAAAGGAGCTCTCCCCACACTATATTCAGCCGTGTCAAATAAACGGTTGAATTCAAAATGACCACAGTGGAGAATTTTACTCGGGGCATTACTCATCTTGTGGAAATGGAATTCCCTAATTCCAAAGGGACCTGAGAAAGCAAATTATTATCCCCTCAGAGAAAAGCAGCCACGAGGTAAGTGCTGCACGGCCACAAAGGAATGGAATTTGTTCCAGATGAGAAAAAGAAAATGTATATACAGTGGGCGACTGTGGCTAAGTGGAGAGCAGGATCGTCCTTCAATCAGAGAGTCGCTGGTTCTATCCCAGGCTCCGCTAGTCGCATGACGATGTGTCCTTGAGCAAGATACTTAACCCCAAACAATTGCTCCCGTAGCTGTGCCCACGGTGTAGAAATGTGATAGAATCTGAATTGTAAGTCGCTTTGAATAAAAGGGTCTGCTAAATGACTGTAATGTAATGTATATAGCCTAACATTGACCCTGCTGGAGTTTGAAATAGTTCCACAGCTCTCATGGGGCTTAAATCTTGGCTCAACTTCCCCCAAAACCCTGAAGGTGTTTTAATGCATGGATTAAAAACTGGTTCACTCCATGCCTGCAACATTAAATGGATCATCTACGATGTATAATGTTCACCACTGCTATTACTGTGTGCCACAGAAGCAAAAATCAATAAAATGCAATAAAACGGTCAATAGTGTGTCCATTTGGATGTATTAACACCTATGATGTCAAAATGATCCATGAGATTTTTTGGAGAAATCGATATTGCATCACTTAAAAACATTGTAAAGACAACACAACATCTTCAGCTACTGTACATGTAGCCTGCAGCCATAACATGCAGCAAAACAAGCTCTGAATGTTTAACAGCAGGCCTATATAATGCATGTTTGCTTTTACTCACCTGTAGTCTCTACTATTCCTTCCAGTATCACCACAATTTCAAACTGCTCTGTTTGCATGGACCTCTGGGAGAGGTCATAGAAGGGGCTTTTGGTGTCAATCACATGGCAGATCGTGAGTGGTGAGACGAGGAAGAGCTGGTCTGCCCCGGTACTGAAACCCACGTCCAGCTCCAACTGATCCAGCGGAAGAAACTCGCCCTCGGGCGTCTGGCGAGACTAAGGAAGCGTACAGGATGAGACAGAGACAGAGATGTTGAGTGGGGGAAGGAAGGGGTAAGAGAGACGTATCTACAGCACATCAGAGCTTTTGTTGGAGCTTTTCACATGTATATGCAATCAGAGCTTATCAGCGTATCAGAAAAAAATGCTATAATTTTCTTAATTGACATTGTCAAGAATATCCAAATTAGAATGTGGTTTGATGTACCACTGGGACTTAAAATGTGTCATATTTGACACAACTGAATCAAATCCACTGCTTTAAATTGATTGTTTTCTCTGGATTTTTCTGCCTACACCTGCTGTGTCAGCACATGGAATTAGAATTTATCGAACTGTTTTAATAATTTAGATGGATAAGGTTACAGTGGGCGTTGAGTTTACACTTACCTTAAACTTTTTGGGAGCCTGCATTTGATTCCCTATATTATTACTCTATTCCTATTACATAAATATTGTAGAGCATTTCAAAGTTTGTATATACATTTACTAAGGACTTTTGTGAAGCCAGGAGGTGGACAGCATGGCAATCCATAGATGATGTTCTCCTAATAAGGGACAGCAGCACATTTATACAAGTTGTAACACATTACCATTTTAAAACAGTTGGCATATGAACGTGTTCTTCTCAAGTTCTGATGTAGGGACAGGAAGGCCTCTTGACAAACTTGACAGATTTCCCCCATCAGTTTTGGAAAATATGTCTTGGTGATTTATGGTCTATTTGTATTTATTTTTCAACATTGTAGTCATGGCTTAATGTTAAGAGTGGGCTTGAATATGTCAGTGTGTAGGCCTTTCAGCATCAGTTACCTAAGAAAATGCACTTGGACTGAGCCATGATACACAAAGGGAATAGAACTAAAACAGTCAATGCATCCCGACTAAAAGTAGCATCACTTACTTTCAGCAATTTGCAGCGGATCTGTGCAGAGACCATATGGCTATTACGCAGGTTGCCGACCCTGAACATGAGAGTTAGTTTTCCATCTCGCATAGAAATCACCGCGTGTTCACTGAACATTAACGTCTCGGCCCTTTTCTTGGGCTGAGACATCTTGATGAACATGCAGCCGATCAAGAAGGCATCGACAATTGATCCGAGGATCGACTGGAAAAGAAAGAGAATGATCCCCTCGGGGCATTTGTCTGTGATGTATCTGTAACCATATCCTATAGTGGCCTCGGTCTCTATGAAGAAGAGAAAGGCTGAGGGAAAGTTATAGACATTGGCCACACATGGAGTGTACTTGTCATTGTGGACTCTGTTGAGGTCTCCTCTGATGTATGCGATGCACCACCACATAGAGGCCATGAAGAGCCAAGCGACTGTGTAGGTGAGGATGAAAATAAATAGATTCCAGCGCCATTTCAAATCTACTAGTGTTGTGAATAAGTCTGAGAGATATCTACTGGTTTCACCACCCAGGTTCCCATGCTGGACGTTACATCGCCCGTTCTTGTCCACGAACCGCTGCCTCTTCCTCTTTTTCTCTGGGGGAGGCTGGTTGAATCCAGACCCGCTAGATGAGGTGGTCACTACCTGATAATCGTCCCCAAATTTCTTTCGAAGTGCAGACATACTACGATGACAGCAGCGAAAGAAATAACAAAGGATTCAGTGAAATAAAAAAAAGTCTGGGTTGTAGTTGCTGCAGTCGTTGATGCCCGTGCGCAATGTCTCCTCTTTGAAAATAAGACAATAAAAGTGTACTGTCTTCGCCCCAGTTAGTCTTGCACCGTCCTCTTTCGCCACACGCTACTGTTGCTACACTCTACAGCCATGAAATGTCAATAATGGAAGAGGAGATTACAAACCCCGAAGATGGAAGCCATATGAAAGAAATAAGCGACCCACGGGATAAGGTATCCAAACGCACCAGTCACAGTCCAGGCTTTTACAGTTTCTCAGTTGCTGCGTTGTGGATTACTCATCGCCCCTGAAGGTTGGGGCTATATCGACCTGTTCAGAACTGTACTCACAGAGTAAGTTTTCATACGAAAGTTCAAAATCCTTCCACGGCCGAAAAAACACCAATATCTCCGCGTAATTAGTCGTTGGAAGCGGTTTCCAGGATGCAACGTCTCTGTGCGCACTTGCGTCTGTGTTGGAGATGATTCGGTTTCCAGCCCTTCCTTTGTAATCTGTATACATATGAGATGAGTTGCATCCAAGCATCTGAGTGTAAAAAAATGACGAGATGGAGGAAGAAAATCACTGTCCCACTGTCGTCATTTTTGGCTGCGCGCATCGACGCTGATTAACAGGCTCTTTTCGGGCACCTATTCCCTTCTCTTAGAGAAATGTCGACTGGATTCTCATGGTTCAGCGGTAGAGATCCACCAGACGCTCTTTTGGCCTCTTAGATCCCTTTTTCCCGTCGATTTCCCTGCGCGGCTCCTGCGCACTTGAACAGCTCCAGTGATGCACTCACTGTTGCCTAGTGGTACTACAAAGACAGATCATTTGGAGGAGGAGGGAAGAGGGTTCGCCTGATTTGACAGTTTTTTTTTCGAGTGATCAAATATGTGAAACTGCAGCCAAGATGTCATGATAACTTTCAAATAATCCCACTAAACGCCACGTTTAGCCTTTACCAAGAGAATAAACAGGATGCTGGCTCTTTATATCATTACCAAATTTGGTTTATATGATTATAAAAATGGGGAAAATAAAATAGCAGTATTTCACAGCTTTATCTCTATATTAGACACTGCCACGAAGCATCCTGGTGTACAAATATTTCCATTGTTCACCTAACTTCCTCTCCAATATACTGTATATGCAGTTCATGGTAATGTAATGAAAAACATGTCCTGCATCTGTAGTGGACATTTACAAATGCGCCTTGTTTACCGGTTGTTCTTCTGGGTCACCCGTGACCCCTCCTCCATCCCATGGGTGACTGCACCCGCTTTATCCAGTGAACACAAGAGATCACAGCAGAGTGACACGTTCTGCGGGAAAGCTGCTGACACTCACAGCAAACTGTATTAGATCTCAGGGGGGACAAAGTGCTGCAACCAACCTGGATGCACTGCTCATAATTCACTCATCGCATTACCAAGATCATGGCCACAGAGGAATACACCCACACCATAGTTACCCAGGCTTACACGCTGTCTCTCAAACACACATGAGGCAGGACGAACAACATACCACCACCTCTCTCACATACATTTTAGCACCCTCAGCCCGTCTACCTTTCTCTTTCCTTTTCCCCTTGATATCCTGCTGTTGTGTGTTGCACTAAATCAGCATGTTTTGGCAAAATTTCTCCCTGTTAAAAGCACAATTACCTTTTAATTAAACAGTCACTGATGACTGCAGCTTTGAAATTTACGTGTCAATTTTATTTATTTATCTATTTTATGGCAGACAGTTTTAGCTAGAGACAAGGAGACAGCAGCGAAGCAGTTTGGGGATAAATTTTGGTCATTTTCACTTGAGAAAGAGTACATCTCAGTAGATAAATGTATGAAAAACTCTTTCAATTAAACCTCCTTACTTCTGAATCAAGCTCATAAGTCATCCGCTAGATACGGTTACTTGCACCACACAAAACTCCATGTGAATATGAAGCATAGCTCTTTTTTACACTCTGTTGTCATGTCATGCAACATCCGTTGATCTTTTATATGTCAAGATATACTGTATATTTCTACAGCAGGTTGTTTCCTTTAATCTTTAACCATTGTAGGATCCAGTTTTTCAGCTCACAGGAATCAATATGCTGTAAAGTCAGTCTGGTTCCAAGCGAAATCTACCTCTCCTATTATCCAGCAACTCCCTGTGGTTTACCGCATGATATTCCACGTTCAGTCTGAGCTCAGAGTGCCCTACTGTACAAATGGTAGCTTCTAAAAACAGCACTAAGGCCTGACATAACCGTTTCCAAATGACCGATTGCATGGCAGCGCAGTGCAACGTTGATGTGCCTCCAAGTGTTGTCTGCTAGGCTCTGTGGCTCAGCCCCCTTTGAGGGAGACAGACAGGAAAAGATTTCCCCATCAGTCACCAGGCCGTCATAATTGCCAGGTGAACGTTAGCTACAGCTTTTGCAGGACTTTTATAATGAGTGCAGGGGGACACGGGTCATCCACCATGCATTCTGGCTCTCATTAGGAGGAAAAGGCTACTCACATATGTGCGGAGCAAAAACAAGGCTATTAGTTTGGACTGACCAACATCAGCCCGTCGTCACCAGCTCAAATTTTTTTAATTGCTGTTTTTCACAGATATACTCATTGAAACAAAAGTTTCCTCCACAACTCTTTGCAAAGTATCTGTCCTGTATGCACATTTAGACAAAGCAATTCATTTCAGGATACAGTGGGTGTTGAGTCACAACATGTCTGCATTACAGTCTAGTGTTCTTGAGTTTTAAAGCCCCTGAAAACTTCACATCAAAATATTTCTCTATAAATATTCATGACTGAATATGCAACAAAGTTTAAAACAAACATTTATAGGTCTTATTTATTAAGACTTAAACTTAAAAATCATAGGTAATTTGCTAATTGATGCTTCATGTGTGTATGTGATGACAGTGACCAAACAATCCACCAATTCAGATTCAAATGTTGCTAAATCCAGATTGGTGCAGATTACTGAAAATTGAGTGCTCACGTATAATAATAAATTGATTCAGAAAACATTGTTTTTTCAGGGCCTTTGAGTGATACTACAGTAAAATGTTTGTAACAGACATGGTTACCGAAATGGATTATCGTCACTCACAATTCTTTTTTCTTTGCTATTTTTATGTGTTTCAAAATCACAAGATCCCATTTCTATGTGGATTAAGTTCAGGTTCAGGTGGATTAAGTTCAGCCACAGAGACTATTACACAATATAACATGTTTGTATGACCAGGCACAAGGGAGTGTATAGAAACCCTTATTTTAACAATGATTCAAACACACCCAACCCCACAGAAACACTTTTCTAATTGTGCTCGGATTTGTCAATGACAGCTAAATACAAGAAAGAGGTTACGGTCCGGGCTTGTTCTTGTCACACACCAGGAGGCAGCTGATGTGTAACACTGTGCACTAAATTGGAATATGCAGATTAGTTCTTATCTAATAGAGGTTGGATTTGGAAGAGCTGTACATTTTGCTTCTACAAAGAAAAAAGTTTTTTTAGCATCATTCTCAGAAAACGACTGCTTTTTTCACAACGAAACACCATCTTCCATCACAACTATTGACCAGTGTAATGTCTGTTGTTGGCCCCTCTTGCACCAGCACATGACAAACTTCTGTTCGTTAATGATAAGAAATACTTTGATGATCCTCTGTAACCCATTTCATAAAAATAGCCCGGGCAAAACCTGATGGGTGGGTGGGGATGTGATTGATTTATTAATCTAATCAGACCAATGTAGGACACCAGATGCATTTGTCCTCCTCTCCGAATCAGCTCAGATAGCACTTGAGGTCATCCTTCGAGAAAATCAGCCAATCACTTCAGACAATCTTCTGTAATTTTCCATCTTCCTTTATAATCTCCACAATCAGAGGCAGAGCAGGGAAACCGCCTCAGCTTTGATGATGCTTTGATGGATCTGCCCCCCCCCCCCCACACACACACACACAAATGCACAACTTCCTCCCTAAAATTTCTCTTGCCGCTACAATATTGATTTTTGAATTTTAAACAAACAATCTCCTTCCCATGAAAGACATGCACTACAATGTTCTGCCCGCAAAGATTAGGTTTTAACAGGAGGGTGCTGGAGCACTAACAGACGTGAAGCCATGTGGTGGATAAGAAGAGCAGCATCTCTAAACCAGTGATTCCACGGGGTACAGCAATTGGGTCAAAATATGGAGCCTCCAAGGGACATATGAGATTGTCAGCATCGTGTGGTAATCAAAGGACATTACAGCTGTTTAACCACAAACTGAACTCTCACTGGAGACAAAGTAGCATCTGACAATGACAATGATACAGCCACATATAGTCATGTCAGATGAGGAATTATTCTAGACACAATCCTTAATAGGTGCACTTAAAAAATATTGTTCTGGTGTGGGCTGTTGGTTTTTCTTTCCACTGCTGAAGCAAAGACCTTATTAGTTGTCGCTGTGGTCAAAAATAGCATCCAAACAGGAGCGTTTTGTGGAGCAGCTCCTGGAGATCGATGATTGATTGCTATACAATTACTGCTGAAAGCAGCAGGGCCCCTCCTCCTAATCACTGCTTTGGTCGCTAAAAGGAGATTATCACATAGAAGAAGCTTGTTAAAGGCACTTTCTCCCCTGCGAATCAATAAAAATTACACAAGAAATTGCAAGCATACATCAGAAACTTCTTGGTTGAATCCCTAGGCTGGCGCTGCACATTTAAAAACAGGTACACTACGTGATTCTGTGTGAGTGAGTGTGTGGGTGTATGCCTCTTATGGCAGTAGATCTGACCCCCACTGAGATACTGGCCTCAAACTATGTCTAATTAAAGCTGCTATTCAATGCAGGCGCTCTGGAACTTCATGTCCCCTGAACAATTAAGTGCAGGATTTCTCCTCTGGTCTCAAGTGAGAAGAAAAAAGCAAATCCAGAGGGTTGATCATCCCCCTCTCTCTTCCCCCCAGTCTGCCGCTACCTATTACTGGATTCACTTAGTTGATGGAACCCCATATGTCGAGCATCGGGGGACATGCAGACCAGAGACACTTGGAGAAATAGGATGGAAAATGTACAGCATTGGATTTGAAGTCGAGGCACGAAAGTGTTCTTGTCACGATGGTCTAATGGAAACAGGTTAGAGAGACAATCACATAACCAAAAAGGCTCTTGAAAGTTGCACTGGATAAGAGCATTATAGCAAAATAGGTATAAGTGTGAGCTTTTGTTTGAGGTGTATAACAGCAGGGTGTTTTCACATTGCCTAGATTCAACCTAAAATACATGTTTTCCAAACAATCACATTATACTCACAGATACCCAGAGGCTTCTGTTTCTACTAAATTACTGGCATTTACCAAACACAAATTAGTCAGCACAAATCACAGTCATTGTCTTGTGGTCATGACAACATGGCTGTATGCCTGCAGTGGTCCACTTTGCAAATGTCCTCTGAGGTAGCTTTGCTGTACTCATACCCCAATTCTGCTTTTGAATGATCTGACTGATTGAAGATATTATTCTCATCATCAGCTATACTTTCAGATTATCTTCATTTTCAGTAACTGTCAGAGAGTGGCTCTGCTGCAGTGAACCAGACACACATTGCAGTCAATGGTGGAGAGTAACTAAGAACATTTTACTAAAGTACTGTACAATTGTTAGGTTCTTGTACTTGAGTATTTCAATTGTATGCTACTTCATACTTCTACTCCACTTTCAGAGGGAAAAGTAAAACTAATCATTAAAAACATAAATAGCCTACAGTAGATTCTCTTTTATACCTCAGGTATCCCAATACCCTATGAATGTTTTGGAGAAAAACAACAGAAACACTATAAAACTGATAAAACAAATAGTTTGAGGAATAACTTAAAGGCTTTACTGAAAAATGAATGGAGGAATTAAACAGCATGTATTATGGTTCTTAATCTCTGGAGACCCGGGGTATTTCTTTAAAGATTAATAAAGACGTAACCAGAATTATACTTTTCCTGAGCCCATGCTTTGTATTTTTCTGTAGAACTATACCACCTCCGTGGTGAGAAGCTCTGATCGTGCACTACCGCCGAGAGCCACAGTGAGCCACAGATACCCACAGATAAGGCCTCCATTAGGGCTGTTGTTTTAAAGAATCTTACCCCTTAATGGACTCCCCTGGCCCAGCCACAGACCCACTATCTTATCCTCACAGGCCCAGTTAACCAGCCTGGGTTTGGCTTGCTACAGGTGTGAGACTGTCTGAAACCACAGTTGGTCCTCACAGGGCCCCTGCTGAGAGTGTGGTGAGGCGCTGATGTGTTGTCAGCGCCACAACAACAACTATTAATACCTCTGTAATGGCTACCTTGGAGAGGTTTACAAATATATTTTTAAAGCCTAAGTGAGGGAAATGAATAGAAGCAATATATATGCAGTGAGTTAAGAGTTATCAAAAAGGGAATACTTTTCTCTGTGTCCTGACTGCAAACTAATTTTCTGCATTTATTAATCATTACCATAAACAAATCAACTTTTATAATATCATAAAATAACACCATGATCATTTTAAAATATTGTAGTGTTAAAATGATTAGTTGATTAAATGTCAAATTAGTTGGACATTTTAGGAAATATTTTGAAGGTGCAAAGAAGAAGCTGATTAGCTTAGCTCAACAAAAAGACTAGATGGTGTTGTTTTCACACTTTCACACAAAATGTGTTAATTAGTGATCTTTAGAGGTGCTAATATAATAATATTTGCTACCTTACAACAGGTTAGCTGTTAACCCTCGTTTCCAGTCTTTGTGCTAAGCTAAGTTAACCAGTTATGATTTGCAGCTTCAGATGTGTGTGAGTCTGCAAAAACCTTGTAAAACAACATTTTACAGAATAAATCATTAATCAATTGATCAAAATAGTGAGGAATCCATCAATAATAAGTGTAATTTGGATCTTCCCTGCTCCCCACAATTGACTCAATAGCACTATTTATTTTGTGTCCCATTAAGGAAAAGGAATTCTGCCTTTCAGATTTGAACAAAGCCAGAGTCACCTGAAAGGTCGAGCCTTCCTCGCTTACATACAGAATAACGCGCTGTGTGAAGAAGTACCTTCAGCAGCTGACAATGGCAGGCGCTTTTGAGGATACTGGACAAAGAGGAAGGAGGCACCCGTCACAATGTGGTTCTTCACACTGCTGTACTGAGGCTGCAGTTTCCCACCTTTAAAAGCCCACACAGTAAAGCCTGGTAATGAGATGTACAGGGGTCTTAAAAGCTTCAAGAACAAGGTTTATTAAACAACTGATGTGTTAGTGTGATGTGTTTGCAGTCGAAGTTTGTTTTTTTTTCTACAAAAAAGGTACAAACAGGTAACATCACTTTGCAACCAGTACATTGAAATATTACATTCCTATTTCAACACCATGCACTTTAGGATAATGAAAAACAATAAATGTGTGTGCGTAACATGAAAGAGTTGATTGAATTTTAGTCTGAATGCCAAGCCAGATTCAGTATTCAAGCAGCATTGATAGTATTTCCCCCATAGTTGCTCCCTCATGTATGCTCTCGCCTGAGGTCCTTATGACGGGCGGAGAATTGGTTTCGTGGGGCCGCTGATGATTTCCAAAACACACCGCAATTTCAAAATCCAAGGTAAGCACTGTTTTTTATTACCACGACTCCAAATAAAACAATGCATTACCTCGTGATCTTTTTACCATTCAGGAGTGTTCAAGTTTTACAGCATCTTAGAAAAATAATTGGTTCTGTATGTACAACAACAACAACAACAATGGTGATAGAAACATGTTAACAGCAGTATGTACAACAACATCGGTTGCCTGATCAACAATGTAGTGACCAGTCACATTTGCATGTGTGATGGGTGAGTGTTGATATACCGACTTTACCGTAACTAAATGTTTGATCAAGCATTAATATGACAGCGACATATTCATGAGATATGACAATTATTGAATATCAATATGCAGTTTCAGTTGTTGTTTTTTTAACTCAAAATGGAAAAAAAAATGTACCATTCTTCTTTTTCAACACCAAAATAAATCAAACAAAAAACAACTTTCTAAAGGCACACGTAACTATTCTGTTCCAAGACATCATGATTTCTCAAGATATCGGTAGCAGGAATCAGATACTTTAGTCATGATAACACAGTGCAACATTTCAGAACACAGTTGTTATCATTTCGGGGAAAACTCTTACATTCACTCAAAATGAATTGTATCTACTCAAAGAAGAGTCTTGATTACTTGCTACTTCTTTTCCCGCAGCCGCTTCTTTCCTTCCACAAAAAAAAAACCTGTTCTTAAAAAACCTCCAAAGAGCTTTCTCAATTTGACATACTGTAATTCTTGTTTCTCTAATCTGTTTGGATTTGATAGCTGCACTCTTCCAATGTGTTTTAGACGATGGCTTCAAATCTTCAGGTTAATATTATTTTCCAAACATTTTAAGAAATCCACCGTAACAACTGGAGCCCGACCAATAAATTGTCCGATATTAGCTTATCACAGATATCGAATTATCTGCCTGTATGTAAACTGCGGTACAGAAGCGGCAAAGATATGTTTTGAGGTATTTTAGAAACTAGTGCAGCGGTCGTTTAGAGCGGGACGATTGTTTGGTGTTGCTCGCTGCTTGCAGCGTTTTCAAGAACGCTCATTGCGCGTTGACTCCAGGGAAGTGAATACGATTTCAGTTCAGAGTAAATCCAGCATTTAGCAGCAAAAGTGAACTGCAGTCAATGAGCTGCGGGCTGTAAACCACTTGTTTATTCAAAGCTTATTAATATTGACCTTGTCACATTTCCAAATTGTACCAACTTCAACACTGCACGTCCTTGGGTCCAGCAATACACACGCCAAGTTTGAAGTAGACCGGATGGATGGTTCTCGAGATATGCAGCAGCGGACACACACACACATAAGTAGATTCAGACAGAGATTCCTTACTTTAAAGTTAGATTGTGTGTCATTTACATAGTTTCTCTCACAGAGTACTGCTAATTAAACCTTGCTTTGTTTATGTTCTTTAATGACCGAATTTAAGGAATCCTTATAAGACATTTGTTATGTTATTTGTTTAGTTAAAAGTCAACCTGAAATAACAATTCAATTTTACATACATTATTTGTTTTTGTCTTGACCCTTCTGTACTTATTTAGTTTCTAAAAAACAAAAGAAATGGGTCTTACAGGCGGCTTGAATCAGGTAAATAGTCAACATTATGTGAGCTTGTTGAAAAAAACAAAGAACGACTATGACGTTCCTCAGTAAGCAGCGCATCACGGACATTGACAGCGCCTCACCGCCCCTAAAATGTCAGTTGCCAGCTGCTGACACTCCCACCCAGAGGCTCCAAGCTTAGACACTGTTCCTACAAATATGTCTGCAAAGTGTCTAATCCTCTTTTTAAAAAATGGAAAAATATACAGAATGTCATAAAATATCCTAATAGTTTACATTTCCTTGCACAAAAATTGAGAGCTTCAAATTCCAGTTTGACTTTAAAACCAAATATCAGTGCACATACAGTATGGTTATCAGACATGTCTAACGCTCAAATATCAACATCGGTATCAGCTTCACAAATCCAGTATTAGTCGGGCTCCATTAACAACATCACTTCCTGTTATGTGAAGGTAACTCACACACTGATATGGAGAGAGGATGAGCTGTCTTGTTTTGAGATTGTACCTATAGCAGCCACCAGTGCACTGCAGGTACGCAGCACAATGAAGGTCATTTACAGTGCAGACCGTTGCAGAGACGTGCCTGGCAATATTCTTGTTATAGATGCACTTCTGTTTAATTGTTTGGCAAGCAGCTAAGCGGCAGTCTGAGCAGCGCAGTGGATGCACGGCCAGCAGAGTGCTTTGATTTCAATGTCCTCCATGCACGGACCTCACACATTGTTCTCCCTGCTCGGACACGACGAGGTCCCCAAAGCCCCGGCTTGTCATGTCGCCTGAAGAGCAGGTGCAGCTTCTATCAAGCCTGAGGCGAGCTGAAAAAGGAGTCGCCTCCATAATGGAAGATAAGCCGCTGCTGCCCGGATCTTTATATTCACTGGCCAGGCTGTTACAGGAAGAGGTGTGCTGTGGGAAGAGCCACCTGGCGAGGGTGTGGAGAGCCAGGGCTGATTAGGATGAGGACAGAGCGGTGGGGGAGAGAGGTGGAGGCCAGGGATCAGACGCTCAGGGTCATGTTACGGAGCAGCCACTGCTGAGCACGGCTGTCGTTGCAGTCTCTCAGGGTGGGGACCATCTTGTCCTCCTCGGACGGCATGTCCAAACACTGGTTGCTGTTCACATGCAGCAGGGTGAGCCGCTGGAGAGGGAAGGATGAAGACGCAGGCAATTAGATGTAAACACGGCACATACTGACGTACAAACATACACGAATGCTTTCAATGTATTGTCTGTTTTGAGACTTATTTATTGCTGACGCTTTTCAGTTATAATTTCCCTCTATCTGCCTCATTGACTGTACTTCTGGAGAAAATTGAATCCACCTGGATGACTGAGATGAACCTTAACAGACGCACTTCCAAATATTGATCTCCCACATTTCACAAAAATACCTTTCGACCCAAGTAAATGGCCAGAGCTTGTTGCACTCAGTAACTGGAGCTGGAGCAAGAAAAAACAATAAGCACATCAATGGAGCAGGATGTTCAAGTTGAGAAAAAGCGAGAGTCCTGCCCTTTATAGAACACAACGTGCACAGAGGTTGCTCGGAAAATTGAGGCTATTGTTGGCGGGGAGACTGTTGTCATGGCCACTTTACAGGTTTTCTCTGTGAACGATTGCTGACCATCAAAAGCATCAAAATGTTTTACAAATAAGACTAGCTGCACTAAGCAATATTTTGGTTATTTTGGATCAAATGGGTTGATGTAACGAAAAAGGTTTGCTAGCGGCGCTGATACAACTGATAAGCGACACCTTAGTCTGCAGCTTGTGGCCGTTTTCTGTTGCTTCCGGCTCAGTGTTTTAGTTTGTAATTTTAGTTAAGTGTTGGCAGCCTAATCCGGGGATAAAATGCCAGCAAACATTGGACGCAGAGGTGCAGTCAGGTGGTGGGACAGTAGGAGGAGGCCAAATGTCCAAACCACCTCTTGAAAAGCCCAACCAGAGATATCAGACCAAGATGCTAATATACTTAATTATTAGCAAAACAGAAATGATGGGAAGTCACTGCTTCTCGCATTGTTAATAATGTTCATTTCACCGAAACAAAAGGTTAAAAAAATAGAACTTTAATAGAACACAGACATTATTTACGTTATTAGTAACATCCGTCTCCCTTCTGTCTGTTTACTCTTCTATCAAACAAACCAGAAAAGTCAGAAGACAGAGCTTAATGTCCAGACTGGAAAAAACTCACCTGTTGTGATGAGCTGAACTCAAGCACCACATGAGCAAGTACCACAGAAATCTATGGCTATCTGCCACAAAGGCTCCAGAGATAGCACTCCCTACTAACAACTGGAAGAGAGCTCTCAATGGCCTTGATTAACCATTTGTGTTCATTGCCTCTGAAGTAACACGCATCCGCAATTTTGCTGCTCACTTGAGTTGCTTCTCTCGTCCTAATGATCCCATGCAGAGAAGTAGAGGAGAAGTGGAGAAGCTGAAGTTGTTTTTTAAGGAGAAGCAGAAACGCTGCTTAATTAAGAAAACAATGGCAAGAGATAAACTGGGAAAATTATGTTAAAAATAAAATTGTAGACGCTACTAAGACTATGACTGTATCATTTTTTTTTAACATTGAGCTTCTATTGAGGGTTTTAAATGAAACTTTGAATGTCTGTCATATTCTATGACATCGCTCGAAACAGATCAATGATCTTTGATCAAAATCCTCAATTTGAATAAAGCAATTAATCAGTAAGTTTTAGTTTTTTTAAATAAGGCGTCAGTGCGTTCCTCTGTTTGTGTGAGACAAGCGGGAGAACAGACAGTTTTAGACAGCAGTAGAAATGTTTTTGAAAGGCTAAAAAACAACAAATGTAGATTGAAGCTGAATATTTTGTTCGATAAAAACATGTTGTGAATTTTTGGAAATAATAACATCTACCAGGTTTTTAAAAAAAACTGGCTATTGGACTTTACAGCGCAACATAAAGTATCACAAAAGAAGAGATAACCTTAGTTTCACCTGTCTGCACCATGTTATCTTGGGAGTCATTTTCAAACTAAAGAGCAGTGCACATAAGAGCATCTATAAACACAGTATGCATGCAACATTAAAAAATGAGCAGTATTTATCTTGCGATGGAGGAATATTTCTTCATTAAAACAAGATTGTGCTTTGACTGTTGACAGAGGATATTCAGACTAATGAGCACACAGAAACGCTCAGGCCATATTTGATCTTAAGCTATAAAACACAAGGGCCTGACATTCTCTGCCTGGATACAAAGAAGTGTGTGCACACACACAAACACACACATCTTTCCTGAAGTACACTTTGCGAACCGCCCTACAGGGCACATTTGTTCAAACAGAACAAGAACAAAGAGAGCATGTGATGTTCGACCTTACAACACCTGCCAAAAAACTAAAGAAAAAAACAATGAGCTAGCTCAAGACTACAGAGATAAAAACATTTTTTATTTTTAACAGCAGCTTGTTAGGTAAAGAATTGGTAAATGAGAAGCAGTATAATCAGCAAGTACTTCTCTTTAAAGGCGTATTCGTACATGGAGCCTCTCCGAACTGGAGGTAGATCTAATCTGTCAATCATTAGAACCTGCATGGCTTAGGCAATAATTAGAACAGTATTTTTTCATTTCATTTCATTCAAAGATCCAAACCCGCTCTAGCGGCAGAGATGACAGAAGAGGAGTATAACGGTGGAAGGTGGAAAAACCATTCCACATTTAATAAAAAATACTGGAAATGGCGAGGTCTTGTCCTTTGCTCGTAATTATTTCATGCCTCCTTTGGGGCTGAGAAAACTCCCATCTCAGCCTCCGAGCAAACCAACTAGCGTCTCCAGAGCAAGTCGCTGAGTGTGTGCACAGCTGAGACCGGCTAATTAAATGAGGACGGTTTCTAACCGCAAGTCCCGGTTGAGGAACATTATCCTTTTGTCACCAAGAAAGCGCAGTGAACTTGCTGAAAGGCACAAGAGTTCCTGTTTGGCGTGATCTTGTGCTGACTCTGCTGATCTAGAGGGCTGGGCTGCTTTTCTTTTTGTGGGAAATACAAAAGCAGCAGATTCCTTTTTTTCTCAAGGCAGAGTCAGGCAACAGCCTCATTTGCTCTAATGCTGCTCTGCTCTTGTGTACTTGCTCTCCTCTGGTGGTGGCTATACCACGAGGACCTCTGAGTGTGAACAGCAAATCTGGCCATCTAACAGCAGGTCACTCTCCTGCCGCAACTCTGACACACACCAGCAGCCATGGGAGCTCCTTACCCAATTTACCCTGCTTGCACACAAAAACTGTGGCATGCTACAGTGAAATTGCTCTTTAGTTTTTTGAGAGACACAACGGTACAGGACTCTGAGGGGCAAACAGCATATAACTCAGCAGAACGGAATGGGCTATGGAGAAATTGACAGACTGGGAAAAGCAGAAAAGCAACAACACTGAAATAGACAGAAATACTGAGCCCAAAAAAAAAACGTCCCTTATGAAAGTATGTAAATAAGCTGCAGGCCGAGTGGTGAACAGCACTGATAATTGGGATTCATTGGATTTACAATATGTACATGGCACACAGTGCACACAGCTGCTTCAGGCCAATAGGAGAGTGGCCTGAGAGGCCAAGACCATGAAAGGCAGGTTCACAATGAAGGATCACTTCAAAAGAACTTGCGAACAATGGTAAGCCCGTTTCAATTAGTCCTGTACGTAGATAATCAGCTAAAAATAACACGTCCTTCTGCATCTCGGGCATCATTCACCAGACGCAGCCAGTCCAGGGGACAGCCGGTGGATTTTCACATCACAATAAAATATTTATGCTGGAAAATAAATGTCAAATGAGATCTAATTTAGCATGAAGACTGGCTAAAGGTCTTGCAGATAGCATATTATACACGGAACCATCTTGATGGAACATTTGTCATTGCTCCGTGTGCCTCTGCCCCCGTCTTCATACGTTCCCCCTGAAAGGTCACCGGTAAAAGCTACTTAGTGCTTCCTAAAACAATTTGCATGCACATTCTGACTGATACCTGAAAGATCAACATCATAACAACAAGCTCTGCATTCATCAGCCCTCACTGACAAAAACAAGAAAAAAAGAAGAAAAAAAAGAGCTAAAAACAGCTACAAAGGTGCCTACTGAAGGCCGAACAGGTCAAACTAATCTACTTCTAACAATGCTCATGACAAACTACATCACTACTGAGCAGCTAAAATGACCACCACCTTCTGCTCTCAGCCTAATTTGTGCTAACCTGCTCACCTCAGGCCCCACAGCTCAGAGAAAATAATCAGTGGGGCTGAAGTAAAGGCGTCTAGCCACTTCCTGACGCGTGTAGTTGTGGAGGATCCAGGCCTGCATGGGACTTTTGTTACAGGGCTCCACTGTGGGGCCGTAGGTGCCGTCCTCCAGGCGGCTGATGGTCAGACATGATTGGGTGATCATGTGGAGGAAGGTGTGCTTCTGCGGCGGGCCGGGATTGAAAGGGACAGATGGTAGTGAAGGTAAGTCCAAGAGTCATTAGTTATTGTTAAATAAATCTGTTCTTCACAGCCAGGTTGTTACAGTTTAATAAGAGGTGATTTATTTTTTTCAATGACAGTTGGACCTAAATTGGACCTAATTCTTGCACACATGTCAGCGTTTATGAAAGACACAGTTTTTAGTTAGGCTTTAAGTTCACAGTATGAAACCACATATCTTAACACTGAGCCAAATTTCACCAGGGACAACTACCACATCAATAATTGATAAAAACACATTTAAAATACAACAATGTATTTATATATCTGTACAATACAGATAATAATAGTTAAAACATATTTTTCATATACTACAAATGATTAGGCAATGCACAGCATTTTTGTACTGTACGGATTTTGACGTAATTTTTTTGTCTTACGGATGTTTTTATCAATTTATCAAAAAAATCAATAAGCAAATGTTTTGATTTGACTGAAATGTATTCGCTTCCTCGTTTGGTTGGTTGATACAAACTGTGGCTTTGGTTGTTACCACATCAGAGCGATTGCAATAATGAGTTTCCGATTTGCAAATAGCATAAAGACAACCCAAATGTAACGAAAATGGCGTTATATCATCAATGCACAGAATGCTTGCAGGGTGTTACCATGAGAATCTTACCCATCTCTACGTATATTATGTGAAGCCGATATTAGTATAGAGTTGTTGTTGTTGTTCATAATATGTCTCTAATAAACTCAGTGCTGTCAGAGTGCTGGCATTCAAAGTATTACATTTTGGCAGCTGACCTATTTTGTGGCTGACACAACCTGACAGCTCTCATTTGGTTTAAAAATACAGGAATGAAACTGTTAGTCTACACTAACGCAAAACTTCACATGTACCAAAGTAAAAAGCAGAGCTGGATAATCGGCCAATTTTCCCATTTGAACTTAAACTCTGTGTGTGAGTAAGAATAGGGGAATCCTTTTGACTGCCTCTAACTGGTGTATTCACCTGTGATCGTTGGACAAAGCAGAGTGAACACATAATTATTTTTGGGCTGAAACAGTAGAGCAGGTGAAGAAGAGGTAAGGCTGTCTGTCACAGTTGTGAATGACTACATCGGGAATATGGAGAAGTCAGGTATTCCTGTGAAAGTGAAACTGATGAGCAGATGAAATGTTAATGGGACTGTAGTCACCCAGGTTTCGGTCCCTGTCCATCACACTTGGGCTTAAAATTAACTTGGCCACTGTCAGCTGTGAAACCCCGAATGTTGCTTACAACAGAGTCCAGTCCTCTTAGTTTATGAATTATTCAGTTTTCCATATTAAGAATGCACCCAGAGAACAAAGTGTAATGAAAAGATTTCTCCTTGGGTTTGTTCGCTGCTTGATGGAAAGGCCTCCCGGCTTCCTCTCCTTGTCATATCTACATGTCAGCGATAGGACATCTCAATCACTGAGAGATAACACTGTGTTCAGAGTAGTCTTTTCTAACCGTCTCCCAGCGGTTTAAAAGAAAACACATGAATTGTTAATATAAAAGATCCTTTTTGTGTTGTATAATCCATAATGAGCTTTGAGTTCTGAGTCAGCAGGGCTTGAGGAGAATATTGTTGTTGTCCTAGGCCGGGGATTCAAAATGTCTCTATGCGACATCTGTTTCTGTGTTTCAATGAATAATGTCATTGTAAGAATATTACAGCTTGCATAACCTGGACTATTAAGTAAAATGAACCTATGCAGTTTTTTTGGCTTTGTCGGCCATCTAATCTTTGTTTTCATGTTGGTGCTACTATAAATAAACAATGAGTCACTCACACATTTATATGTTGTGGAAATACAGTAGTGTCTTACCAGAGTGCATCTTAGAGGCCATAAGGTCTGTACTGTGCCACACGACATTGCAGAATGCATTGGGATTAGGTTTGTTTTTCAAACTGGCAGGTGTTTCTAAAATGTTGTACACCCAAGTGATTTTAATTATGTGTTGGATTAAATGGCAGAAAGAGCACCACAGAATACACCCTCCAGAATGACCATACAGTTGAATCAACACGTCTCTAAAAAAGAGGTGTTGATTCAAAAATAATTATACCGTATATAAATATTTTATTCTAGCAGAAATGTTGCGTTAGACTGCATTTGTTTTAGATACATGTACTGCAGTGCATTTTCTTTGCTGACCTTTTTGGTAATGAATAAATAAATAGAATTAATTTTAAATAAAACATCCGACTCAAAATCCATTTCAAAGATTAAACTTCAATCCTCTGCCAAAAATTGATAAACCATAAATCATCTACTCTACTGACACTTACACGGAGATCTGGGGTAAATCACCACACTCGAATCACAGGACTCAAACTATGGAGCAGTATTCTGTCGCAATGACTTGAACAGCTTACCTCAAAATCATATTCCCACTTGCCAACATACTAAGTGAAAGAGGAGAGAACATGAGAGGAGAGACACAGATGCTGGGGTGGAGAAAACAACTTCTGTGCAGCTAAAAGAAACTGGCACACAGCACCATCTGGTGGCAGCAAAGCAGTACTACCCAAATCCTCCCCAATGGCACAAACAACAAATCAATCAATCAGCATTTCATCAAAGTCATTTTTCAAAGCATCAGGCATCAAGGAAGCAGAGAATGGCCGTCTGCAACAGCAGGATTATTTGGCTGCTACGGGGAATATGAATCCTACCTCGGCGTCGTACTCGAACATCTGATTGCCCTTCATGTGGTGACACTTAAGCATGACGACGGGTCCGTTGAGGCGGGAGACATCCAGACAGAGGTCGTCCGTCCTAATTTCTTTATCCGCCGTGTAAGAGAACACCTGGAAAACCAGATGTCTCTCTCAGAAGATGAAGCATCAACATCATCGCTAAAAGTGTGTATAATCAATGTGCTGCAACGTGTCTTTGATGAGAGGATATGGGAATGAGTTGTACATACTTATTAGTGATTTTATTTAGATTTACAGCCCTCATGGTTTGTGTGGTGCCAAGCCCAATTTAGATGTTATGTGCTGTCTAAAATGAGTAGAGCTTTAGTGCTATCTATCCCCTTTACCATGTTTTCCTGTTATCTCAAGGTTACATTGAGATTGTGTCTCGTGTAGTGCAGCGACACACAATGTCCCATAACGAGGAGAACAAAGTACAATCAAATTCTTGGCACTTCACAATGACCCACAGCATGGAGCCAAATCAACAAAGGACTTTCGATGACAAAAAAAAAAACTTGGCAAAAACCCCCAACTTGCATTTAAATTGAAAATCCGTGGATTGACTAAAAAAGTTGGCAATTCACACACACTTTGCATCCAACCTGATTGAGCTCAAGCTTTCGAGCGAAGGCAAAATCCTAAAGCTCATGTATCCAGGATAAAGAAGTATCAAAGGCTCGGCTTGTTTAATGTTAATCTAAAAGAGATTTGTTCTACATTCCACTGACAAAAGAAATGCTTCTAAAAGCATGTGTTCATAGCACATTGTGTGCACATAGTTTAAAAGCAGAATCCAGACCACAAACAATACATATTCATCACCTGGTTTCCACCCATGCCGTGACAGTTGAAAAAGCCAACTTTCTCGTTCTCCTTTCTCCCCATGTTGTCCACGCACTGGTTGGTCTCAACATTTCTGATCTACAGGCAGAAAAATGAGAAGGAAAACAAATAATTCTAAGTTACTTTAACTCTGATTTGAAATTAACTTCCGGTCTCTAGATGTGCTAATTTCAAACTCATTAGCAACTGTAACCAAACAGAAGCCAGTCAGATCCTGCTCTATCTTTCTCATTAAAAGTTAATCATCTCTTTTACGACCCCCCTTTTCTCTGGTAGTTTTCATGAATTTTTTTTTATTGCTACTATTTCCGTTTTGGTATAATGTGATCTTTTGATGATAGACTCTGTGTGTGTTCTACGGAAAGTGAAGCGGAAACTTACTTTCCACACATTTGAAGTGGTCGAAAAAAACCTGACATTTACAGCCAATGTAATCCCAAAATAATCAAACTCGTGATTTATTTTCAAACTGCAATCATGAAAAACGCATGTTTTTCACCATGTTTTTCTGCCAGGGTCCATGATCTGATTCCATAAGAATTTAACGATACTTGATAAAAATCTTTAAAGCTAAAGCTGAAGTTGGTCAAATAAACAAATAGTCGTTCGACAGAATATTAATCTGTAACTATTTTGATGATCGTATTGGTCATTTTAGAAGCAAAATGCCAAACATTTGCTCGTTCCAGTTTCTTAAATGTGAGGAATTGAGGCTTTACTTTCTCATATATCATTGTAACCTGATTATATGATGATGCCTCCTTGGCCTCTTGGAAATTGCAGGCATTTCTTTACTATTTCAGAGACAAAATTATTAATCAACAAAATAATTATGATTATAATTGTTATTTGAAGCCCTAAAAATCCTCTATATAACATTAATTGTGCCACCAAATTGTGTTAATTCAGATTCTACCCATCATCTTCGCTTCTAAAGATAAATGGATGAAAAGGGACCTGACTGCTCAGCCTGAGTAACCCCTACCGCTGACTTCACAGTCAACTCAGTGGGGCTGATACGTTCAACTTATACATTCACGGAGCTAAAACTGAGCTTGCTCTCTACATCACCTGAGCATCTTATTATGCCAATCACGCAGGAACAGAACGGCGTTCATAATTAAGTGATATAAAACTTAATGGTTTCAGCTGTTTAAGAAATGCTGACTGTGTGTTATGGAGGATGATAATCAGTCGGGAGAGGTTTGCTTTAGGGGAAGATGGGAGTTGAAGTGCTGCAGTGGCTACAGAAAGAGAGAGAGACAGAGAGAGAATCAGCTTGTACTGCAGTACAGCAGAGCAGCACAGATTAAAATCCTCTCATCCTCAGCTGCATGAATGTTGGAGGATTACAGGCTCATTTCACCAGTTCTTCAGCTGACATTATGGCTATCATACAGACAGCACACTGCATGTCAGTGCTGACTTTAGGCCATGCCGTCGACACGGCGCCATGGGCATCAGGAGGCAAATTCAGGTCACTCAAAAACTTTTCTGTGTGAAGGGAAACTAACAAATAAAAGGAACTAAAACTTATATTATCTTGAAAACAATTAGCCATGAGTTCTCACGGTTTAGCTGCAAATTATCGCGCAATTTCCACAATCCCCTTTCTAATTTCTAAAGAAACTACTTTGTATGTTCCATCTCTGCTTATTAAAGCGATCATCTGATGAAAAATGACCTCAGTTTTTTTCAGATTTGTAGAAAAGGGGACTACATATTTTTCACAACAAACTGCACAACTTGCTGGGTAACAATTTACAACCCTGTTTGAGTGAGACTCTGACTTATATTTGCACTTTCTTGTCTTTAATAATTCATTTTTGAACAACACAAATCTTTGCCATGAGACTGTGTAGAATGTATACATGAGCCTTATCTCAGCTACCCAGCATTCATAGCAGAACTGTGTAAACATCAATACTGACATCCCCTTGTTTGTTTATTCTACGCGTTCAATACGAACAGCTGGGAATGTTTGTTTTTATCTGGCTTCGCCCAGCTTTTGCTGGATTCTGAGATTTATCTCGCAGCGATATTATCTTTCTGAAAACGCAAGCCCAGAAGCTACAAGGACATATCTGACTGAATGCAGAGGAAGGCAGCCTGCATCTATCATTTAGCTGCATTATGGGAGATCAGAGTACGAGAAAGCTCATACTTCACCAAGTGAGTAGTATCTTCTTGGGATCTGGGAGTCTGGGTAGATGTTCTCTAGATACCAGGAAAACGGTTTGCACTTCAAGGCCTCACGGAGGTCTTTACGGGAAGAAACGTCTCCGTAGTCCACCCGCATCACGCCTACAGATGAAATGTCAAGACAAGGATTCAGATATATAATCATCAGTCAGTGTTTATCTTATTATTTACATGTTTTAATTCAGAAAATAGAAGAACAGGTGCGATGGCCTGCACCACCAAGACTAAACACCAGAGGGACCCTTTATAAAAAAACAACACTTTGCCACCTTACCTGAAAATATAGCCTGTGTGGGTGGTCAGAGACGGATCTTCTGTACATAAACACACAGAAATCACCTCATTTCTGCAAACGAGGGCACGTGAGGAAACCAAGTCAAATCCAATTTAAATAAGACGGCTCCTTCAGAAATGCACAAATGCAACAATTGTGGCAAACTGTGTGCCATGATGCATGTTATTTTAGCCAACATGGAGACTGCATAATGTATCAGCCTCGATGCAACTGAAGACTGAGGAAGGATTAGACAGCGACCGGGCACAGGCGCTTACAAACACATTAGGCAGATGGATTCTCCCCAGAATGCCTCTTAAGGACTCATAACTTGCATGTAGATATATCCAGGGTGGTCATTTATCATGAAAGAGTGTGATTGCAATAAGGGAAATACAATACAAACACGTAAGCATGGTGTATTCATCCATCAAACAGGAGCCCGACAGTGCAAACAGCACCTTCTGTAACACCTACAAGGTTTTACACTTTAAACTGGGAAACAGAAATTTCAAGCTGGCAGATAAAAGCTAAGTGCTGAAGGCCATTCTTCCTCCTCTGCTTCTCCAGTTCCCCTTCTATCTTTCCCTCTCTCTGTTGACTCTGAGCATCCCATGTAGCAAATGATGAATAACCTCTTTGATCTTCAAATCACCCGTGCACATGAGGGACGAGGAGGAAGATGCACTTTTAAAAGGATCACTAGATGCCACTCCCAAACTCAGCCTGTGTGCGACACACTGTGTTCCTCTGTGCCAATAAGTGAGGTCTGGCAGCAGCGTCGCCCAGATCATTCTCCCTAATGTCCTGGAGGAACAGACGGTCATTGCGGGGTCACAATACGCAGAAAGACTCATCCATCACGACCACGGCTCCGTCTGCACACCTGCCTGTGGGAGAATCCTGCACGACTGTGTGGAGGAGAAGGTCTCAATTTTAGCCATGAGATCGGCAGATTACTGATGATCCCTCATAGGTTAGCTGGCGTCTAAATCACTTAACCAGAGATTTCCGGGACACTGCTGTTTGCTAAAGGGTAATCACAATTACAAGTCGACAGCTGGAGAGGTACTCATCTCTCAATCTGCACTGTACCTATTGTTCTAGCTTGTCTGTGTTTGAGCTTTGTCTAAGAGAAGTCCGTGTTGGAGAGGAAACCATCTTTGACAATTTTCTTTAACTCAGATTTTCAGAGGAGCAGTTAAAAATGTGTCTGAAAGAAGAAATTAATGAATCCGTTTGGAAATGACAAATGCAGCATATAACTCCAATGTGAGGCGGAGTGAAAGGAGAAATATAAATTCTTAAATGAGCAAGATAAAAGTCCCATGTCAGACAATAAAAGAATCAAAGAGAGCAGACAAGTCTTTCCTTTTCACACCAATTTGCTAATTCAGCGAGCACATGAGTAGCAAAGAGGGGCAAATGTCTATTAAATCCCTGACTGTACTATACATTCTCTGAAACTTCAAAAAAACATGCAGAATTCATGTTAGAACTGTCGTCCACGTGTGACACTACTATTCCAGAGGCAGAAAGATGCAGCCAGCCAGTGGCTCAGCTCTGTACCTGGTGATATGATATAGAAGAAATCTTTGAAATCGTCCATCCAGACTTCGGCCAGGCGCCTGTTGTTTTTGTTGATGACTTGGCCCGTTCCTCCGGGGAAACTGTACGGGGTGGCCTTCCGGAAAACATGGCCCACGTGTGAACATGTTACTATTTCCAACGAGCCACCGCACTGCCAGATCTGCAGACACATACACACAATGGAGCTTTATATAGCGTGGGGCACGAAAGCAGACAAATACATTCGATGCAAACTGAACACTTCCCCTATTTGATTGTGCCTCGCTCCTTGATCCTCAGGTAACACAGACACATTACGATGCTCCTAATCTGCAAGCAAAGAGGCTTAAGCAAAGAAACAAGCAACCATATTCTTCCCAAAGACCTATATTTCATGTGTTTTCTTCTTCAAAATCTAGTCATGATAAGAGTGGATGTGTATCAACTGTAGACCTGATTAAGAAAGAAGGTTCTTCTTGTGTTTCATCATTCATAAAGAGGTTCCTTTGGATAATCTCTAATTTCCCTTTTAACCTCCATTGTATAGTCCAGGAGACAGAGGGGGTCTTAAGCCTGGACTTTATTTAGAAAGATTTCACTGCTGCCTGTTGTCTTTCAGCAATAAACATGGTTTATTGTCTATTGTGTCATTTCTATTCAGTCACACGTGAAGCTGCAAATCAATCACTGTGCAATTAGATGTGAGCTAATAATAACATACTGACATGGGAGAATAATAACTATCCTGGGAAAAATAATTGTGATTCATGATATTATCCAGATAATCATTGAACTGTGCTTAAAACTCTTAAAATGGCACTAAAAAAAAATACTGTAATTGCATTTAGTTAAGAAACAAAAACATGTATTACAGATATGTGACACACTGTGAAAAACAAACCTCCTGCATAAATAAAGGATACATGCATTTTAAAATAGCAACTTTGTGTGAGTCTGTTCTTTCTTACATGATAATTCCTGATTTTCCTTTTTTTTTAATGAGGCTCTATTTTACACTTCTCTATCATAATGAACTCTTTTTGAAGTCACTCCTGTGACGATATTGTGAGTCTTTCTATCGCAATCAGCAATAAAATCCCATATTGTCCCATAAAATCTTTTCCTTTTCCCCTCAAAACATGAAAGGACATTCTAAGCAGAACTAAATAACTATTTAGTAAGGACATCTCATTTCACTAAACTATTTCTATAATTTCTCTTTCCTTGCAGTTTTCCCTTGGATCCCTCACTTGAATCTTAAGTGGAAGTGACTCCGATTCGATCAAAAGATGCAAGTGAGGTAAACATGGATGCATTAAAGGGAGACGGCATGTACCAGTTGACATCGACCAACTCTGGGACATGATAACATCGAGATACTGTAGCATCCTCCCCGGTATGTTACTCACTCGAAAAGACATTTCCAGGTTTTCTCCGCCCCAAATATCCATCCCTGGATCGTAGCTTCCTATTTCTTCAAAGTATGATTTGTGTATAGAGAATAATCCTCCTGCCATGGTGGGAGTCCTGCAAGAAAAGCAAAACAATCCTTTTGTAATATTACTTCTCTTTTTGCCCTATTTATTAGTACCTTAGTGTAACTCGAAGGAACATTCAGAATATAATAAAAGACCAATTTGTTTGACAATTTGAAACAAAGCCTCAGAGGGGCGATTACTTTCATCTTTTAATTCATTCTATGTTAAAGTCGGCCCTTAATTAAGGATGTTGTTTGTTGCTGGGAGTGATTTGCATACAGATGACAAAGTGTGCTTGGCTTTGTGTAGCCCCAAAAAAAGGCAACTGTCAGTAGAGTTTCTGCTTTTCTATTTTTGAAATAAATGAGCTCATATACACTTGGGCTTCAACAGAGCACGATCACAACTATCAGGATGCTATTTAGGCAGTTCTTTTTCATCAGTGGGATACACAGAGGAAAAACCATCTATTTATATCAGCAAGATAAAAATGGCACTTTTCATGAGAGGAGTTTGGGAGGAGAAATCTAACTATCCACGTCTCCACTGTAGCCGGCTGCCATCACAGATAAACCCACTTTTAGTTTAGATGAGAAACTGAGAACTAACATCAGTTTGAACTTACAAATATGTCTCTTCAACTTATTTTTTTGTATTCGACCTCCTCTTTCTTAATTCTTAATCAAAATACATTACACAAGTGGACAGTTAGTCACGCATTCCTCTGAATGATCTAGATTTAGCATTAAAAGAGGACGTTTTAGTTGTGTACTTGACAGGCAGAGTCCTGTCCCCCTTGCGTCGATCCATCTCCCTCTGGGGAACTGGGTACCAGCGGAAATTCAGCTTCCAGTTGAATCCACCATAGGTCATGTCTGAACCTGCCATGTATTCAAACGTCTCATCGCTGATGACATCGATGATAGGGCACACCACTGCTGACCTGAAAGACACAACACAAGAAGACACAAGAAAAATACAGTGTAAGATTCAATGCTTATTTAAAAAGATACAATACATATAAGAAAGGGAAATCAAATGAGGTAATGGTTCGTATTTTAAAGGTAATGGAAGCCAAGTGTTGATCTCAACAGGGCTGCAACAAATTACTATTTCTATTATGGATTATTCTGTAGATTTTTTATTTATCATAATGGACAGAAAAGCTGGAGGATTTTCAATCAGCTGGATGTTTACTTCAATCACTTGTCGATTAATCGCTGAAATAAAACAATGACAGTGAAAAGTCAAAGTGGAGCAGAGAATAAATGGTAAATGAACAACTAGCATTCATACAGCACCTATCTAGTCTTCTGACCCCTCAAAGCGCTGTACACTACATGTCAACATTCACTCACTGATGGCACAGCTTTCTGGGTTCAGTATCTTGCCCAAGGACACTTCAAAATGCAGTCTGAAGGACCTGGGGATCGAACCGCCAATCTTTTGATTAGTGGATGACCCGCTCTACCTGAGCATCAGCCGCCATCATTCTGAAAGGCGTCTTCAAATCTCTCAAATTAAAACAATATTAAACAGAGAAAAGCAGCAAATCCTCACATTCAAATAGCTGGAACCAGCGAATATCAAGCAATTTTGGTTGAGTTGTTGTTGATTAATCTTCTGTTTGACTAATTGTATAAGTGACTACTTGTTTCAGGTCTAGACTTAAACACCATATTACTTAATGTAGTTGAGATGCTATAGCATCAATACAAAAATCTGCATCTGGGAAAATCCCCCCAAAAATAGCTGTCGCATTATTAAAATAGCTTTCAAGCATTTGTTAAGTCGTATTAATTCTGCATAGATTATCACAGACAAAGGTAGAGTACTATTACTAGTATAGGAGGAACAATACTGCTAGTTTAGTCTGTAAGCAATATTTTAGCTACTAGGTTGGCTCCTGTCAGAAGGGTATCTTAACCAAAAAGGGCCAGGCTGCTAGCATATAAAAGTAAAAAGCAAAGTCTGTCCTTCAAAACAGGTCTAATGAGCACTTTTACTCACCTTTGCATTAGGGACATTTTTCAACATTATTGTAAATTTCAAGTGTAACTGTATCATGAGAATATAGTAATATATAGCATGTTGTATTTACAACTGAGCAAAATTTGCTTCTTTTTTTTAAACATAATCAATTGCATTTTGAATACATTTGCCATGAGGTCATAGTGTTATCTCAAAATTTGAAAAAAATTTTACAAACCCGATGTCAACCAGCCCTTTCAGCCTTTCCTTAGGTCTACCAAAACAACCTGTATCATCAATCATGAGAACTTGCAGTCAACACACTGTGTACTTTCTTTCTGCGCCATCTCATCAGTCTGCACCCATACTTATAGACATCAATGCATCTGCAGCAGCATTCAGTAAAGGTGTAATGGCTCCATGATATAATAGTCTCAGTCATAGGATACTGATTTCTTCCTGAGGGACAATTAATGTGTCTGACCTCAGATATGAGATAGATCATTATCCACCCATGTCACTCTCACAAATACACCTTGTGTTTTCTTTAAAAGGGAAGTTAAAAAAAAAATCCTGAAATAATAGCTCAATGCTCTGATAAATAACACCTTCTCACTTTAAATGAAAAGAAATCCCATTCGTGTCTAAAAATGTCCTTATTCACTTTCATCTTGACTTAACCAGCGTCTAGGTTTTAGCACAAAAATGAAGCTAGAGTAATTGGAGCTTTTCCTCTGAGGCAGCAGCAGAAGCAGACGACGCAGAATGATCATCTTCTCCTATCAGCAGCGTCAGGCTCCAACAGTGTATTCATAACTGATAGTTTGCTGTCCCATCAATATTCAGACAGAGCTTTGGCTCAAGCACTCGATGATGCAACTTCAGTGAAATGTGATAATGCCAGTGTTATTAAAGCGTGTTTCATGACTGAACAGGCAAAAGATTAAAGTGATTGAAAATGAGAAGATCATAAGCGCCCAAAGAGTAGAATCCAGTCCTTGTTTCGTATCAGTTCTGAAATGTCATTATTAAATTTGAAACATTCAGTGTGGTCTATTTTGGCTCCTACCTGTCCTCTTTGATGCGCGCCAGCAGGGGCTCCAGCCAGCCGACAGTACACTCGCAGTGAGCGTCCAGGAAGGTGATGACCTGCCCTTTGGTGGCGGCAGCCCCCCTCAACCTGGCTCTGATTAGACCCGAACGCTGCTCCATCCTCAGGATCCTCACTGGCACCTCCAGAGTCCGCGCATAGTTCTCCAGCTTCTTCTTCAGGAAGTCTGAAACAAAACAAGACATTTCAGCAAAGGTGCACTTGTAGAGCAATGAAATTCAACAGAGCTGAAAGAATGTGTCAATTGATTGAAACACGACTTAAATGATTAATTTTTGATAATTCTTGTAATTTTCTAACAGATTTTTTTGTCAAAATCTAAATTTAAAATCTTTGGGTTTAAACTGTTGGTCGGACAAAACAAGAAATCTAAATATGTCAACTTGGGCTCTGTGAATCAAGCTATATTCCAAGCTCAGAGTTTGTCTCCCATATCGTTCACATTGATCGTCAGCCTATTCTAGCTCAAAATGTACGTTAAACCTGTGAGTGTAGACTTTCTAACCTCGCTCGCTGGCATCGTCGACCAGCACAATCTCCACCAGCAAATGTCTGGGAGAGCGGTTGATGACACTGTGAACTGTCCGCAGCAAGGTGCTCCACGCCTCGTTGTGAAACACGATGACAATGCTGGTGTTTGGCAGCTCATCCGGATACAGCTTGGTCTTACAGCTGATGGAGCGACAGTGAAAACAAGATGAAATCAGTAAAGTAGAATTGAACAAAGCAAAAGTCAAACCCACGCGTATTGCTGAGCTACAGGCATAAGGAAGGTTAATATAAAGCCCCGTCCATTTATGACTTCTCGTGAAAAATCGCATATCTATTGTTTAAGTTTTGAGTCGATGAGCAATTCCACTTTCATTTGAACAGCTTCTAGATAAACAACAGTTACTCATCTGTAGTCATCTAAGCAGCCCTTACATTCTTGTCAGGTCCTCTTGTGGGGGTCCCAACCCTCAGGTTTGGAACCACTGTTTTAGAGTACTAACTAACAGATTGTTATAATAATAATTAACTATAACTATAACCCCATTTCATCTTGAGTTGTTGTTAAGTAAAAGAAACTAATAAAATGTAACATTCTTGGTCACATATTAATCACGTAGAATCCCACACATTTGCTGCTTGTAGCTTCTTTGAATATGAATGTTTTGAAATTACATTTTATAGACTATATAATTCATTCCCTCAACTAAATAAGAAATAATTTGTAGCAGCTAAACTAAACTAAACCATGACTAATGTAATACCTGAACATAATCATTTGTATCCTTAGACCTTAACCTTAAACATACCCGGTCTAAATATATTGGTCTAAGTGGTTCTCTACACCCACAGCTCATTATATGACATGAAAAGTGTCTGAGAAGAGAGTGTGTCTCACTGCTATCAAATGCTGCTGTCAGAGCAGAAACATTGTCATATGAGATTCACTGACAAATATCTCCAAAGAAAGTAAAGAAAGTAAAACCGGCGTTGGCAGCTATGTCAGCACGTCCGCTTGATGGCTGTCTGTCAAAAGCCAAAGAGTGAGAATGTGGCAAACTTGGGGCGGCGGCGTCGTGGATGATGTTGAATAAAGAATGAGCTGCAGTACAGAAGAAGTGGAGGAGGTGGACGGCCAGGGCAGGAGGAGGGGTGGTGGGAGGTGACGGAGGGTGAAAGAAGCCATCGGAGCAGACAGCATTGCTAGTTCAGTCCTGTCTATTCAAAGTGACAGCGCTGACTGACACAACTAGGCCAGGAGGTTGCCTTCAAGACAAAATGCTACTGCCGTTCACAGGCGACGACTGGTCATTCTGCATGGCTCTGGATAATTTCACGACACAGCAGGATACATTTTTGCAAAGCTAAGCTGTGTTCTGTAATAAAACTGCTGTAATATTTATATTGAGAGAAGGATGTAGCCATAATGGACAGAAAAAATGTTGCAATCAGCTGAATGTTCACTTTTTCTTAGTAAAATAGGTCTTGTTTTGCACTATGCAGGCAAATTTATCTTTATATTTGCAACGCCACGTTGCCGAAAGTCTTAAGAGTTGGCGTTTTCTTGGTATAGGTAAGATTTGCATAAAAATCTGCGTAGTGTAGGTGTGAAAAAAGACGTTCTTGTGGCCTATTTCTCGATGTGTATCTGACTGGCACAGCCTTTGGCATATACTTAATGAAAGTGCCGTGGAGAACTTGTGTTCAGTTGGAATATTTAAACATGAATCACTTGGATAATGTCTCCGCAAGAGGCGAAAGCCGGTGCATATCAGCTGCCCGAGACGAACGTGTGCTCGTGTTTCACACAAATTTCTCCTCGGATTTTCATTAAGTGCTCGAGTAGATCTTGAGTGACAGTAAACAAAACCTCAGTCCCATTCTAATGCCAGGCCTAATGTACACACTTGAGGGATCTGATTCTGCATTGAAACCGTGCCCATAATTAGAGATGTCTTTTCACATTAGATAAAGTTATTAAGACCAATAAAATATAATGGACTCAACAAACAGTCCAGAAATTACTTTAATCATCTGAATAACATTGCTTTGACAGTTTAGAGCATTTTATCTGCATCACTGTCTTCAACCCTGTTGAGACTCTTTTGACAAGAGAATGAATCTCTGTTGCCTTGCTGAGGCATCCAGCACATTTGTCTGAATACTGGAACAGTTTCTAGTGAAGCTGGCACACAAGCCTGCATACATTAAGGAGTGAAATCCCTAGAAATAAAGACGAAAGAAGGAGAAAGGATCAGCCGAAATGTCAGCTTTTTGATATAGAAACATCAGCGCCTTGCAATGTGTGACTGTTATGAAGTGTACTAAAGTTTGCAGGCAGCGGAGGAGCAGGGCGAGGACTATGTAATGTTGCTGTGTTGAGAAGCAGATGTGTGCGCGTGAAGGTGTTAAAAGAGTGTGATTCACTGCATGCATCTGGAAGACGCTCAAAGCTTACCCATCCAACCTCACATCTGGCAGACTCCTGTTGAGTGCGATCATGTCGCTGGCCATCAGGTTGAACTGGTTGATCTTAAATAGCTCCTTCATTTTCTCCTGGTTGTCCTTGGGGATGTTTACTGCCTTGCCCATCTCACCCGGACCCTCATGGCTCCGAGATATCACCGCTGTAACATAGCAGAAGCAAAACAAAAGGATGTCTGATGAGAAATCAACCCCCTTTTTTGTATTATTCTCACTACGGAGGTAAGAAGTAATGTCAAACTGCATTGTACAATAAATCACTTTGTATATATAGTCTATTCTTGCTAAGGAAACCATTGGCGAGAACTACTTTGGTACAAAAGCCCACTAAATTACAAATGCTCCACATCTCCTGTCTAAATGAAAGCACTGACTGACCTTGCTGAACCCAGTCTGTTGGCTGTGCGCCCTGTTGTAACCATTGGAGAGAGATAAAAACAGTTGTGGTGGTTTTTCCAAGAACTCAAAGAAGTAAGAGTGCAAAAGCTGAATAAAAAAACATGATAAATATAGTGCTGTTTTGACAATAAATTATGCCATAATAAGGGAAAATGATCCACATTATAGATATATCTTAGAAATATACCTCTTTGATCATTTATATCATATATAATCTGCTGTTCTGAGGCAAAAAGTGTGTCTCTTGTCTTTTTTTAAATTCTAAATTGCTCCATGATAAAGGGAATGAACTACAGATAAATTCTGAGAGATCCCTTTTTTATTGAAAGCATTGTGCAGGGTTTATTATCCGACTCTTTAGGCGGAGGAGAGTGCAGCAAAGAAATGCTAGTTCTATCTCGTTACACTCGGTAAAGTGTAATTTTCTATACTGGTAAAAAGCCAGCGCATATAGACTGCAAGTACCGAACGTGTGTGTTTTAAGATACAAATGAATGTACTGGCAGCATGTACTGTATACAGGATGTGCTGATATGAAAAGTATGTTGTACTCCCTTCAATAACACATACAGACAATGTGAGTGCATTCTCACAAAACGAAAAAACAGTGCAAGACACTTAATACAGACTTCTGCTTCAGCTCTCACCTGGTTGCTGTGGCTCTGGCTAACTGGGTATTAAGCACTGCACAATCTGTGAGCTATATATCATTTTAATCTATTAGGAGGTCTTGAATTCTGAGATTTGGGAGAACGTAAAGCAAAATCCTTTCCAGGAGCTACTACTGGTCTTGTTTGCTATTCGCTGCCACAGTCTGATGCCTGCAAAACGTCAGCATTGCTGCTGCTGCTGCACAGAGTCAGCTCCCTTCACCAATGGTAAATAACCTCCCACAGATTTATGACTGTGCTCTCTTTAATAATCTCTCAGAGCAGAGGCAGTGATTTCCATGAAAGGAGGACACACAGTTCACATTAGCTGCACGGTCCCAGGTTAAGAGGATTCCCTACGACCCCTCGTGGAGATCTGCTGGATTGTTAACCTTGACTGATCTTGGTCTTTTGTTTATGGTGCTGCTGACACTCTCCATTTTGCAGCTATATCTCCAATCCATCAGTCTATAGGTACGGATAAAGAAAATCCTATAGACTAGTTTAAAAGTGTAAATTTATATAGACAGTATTTCAATCTGACTATGAAAGTGGATTACTGAAAGATGTGTGTAATATCAGATGTAACCAAGAACTGCAAAGAGCAGAATACTTTGTTTTTTGTAGGAGACAGTCTTCTGGCCTTGAAATAAGGCCAATTGTCATTCCCGCTTTACCACTGAATTATTTTTTAGAACTTGAATGTTGTCGGACTGATTAATAATTTTCAAGCATGGATAAACCCCCCATGCTGTGTTTGTTGTGAAGTCACCTGTCCCTCCGCAGATGGATCATTAGTTCAACCTGGGACACTTTATAACAACACTCAGTCATTTATATAAAATAAATCATAATATAATCATAAACAAGTCATTTGTTTATTTATTATGGATCCCTGTGATCTGGGGAATAACATTAAATAGCACTGGGAACTGGCTAATGGCATTTTTTTTAAGATGGAACGGAAGAGGATGAAACAAAAACATATGATTGATTGGCGCTTCACCGCGTCATTGGAGCGCGGAGAAATGTTGAGCTCAACTTTGATTTATAGCGCGTCACGTCCGTCACACAGCGACAAGTGTGGAGCCTGAGTTTGTAGCTTCACATCGCCAGCTTCCATTGAAAATGACTTGTAGCCTGTTCTTCCTAATTCTGTGAACACAGCATTAGTAAGATCAGAGGTTTATGCTATTTAGGGAAGATAAGTGAGGAGAATTCTGCGTAGTATACCTTTAAACATTGACAAAGCACATTATTTGATCATTTCCATTGATGTGTACTGACACATCAATGGAAGTTAGTTATGTACCTCTTTTCACTCTTTATCTACGCTAGCTGCATGGCTCCAAAAATGACGTTAGCTATTTTTCCCTCAGGGTGAATTGTTGTAACTTTTCATCTAATGCCATCATGTGGTCAAAATTTGTATTTTGATTTGATTTATGACTAAACACCCATATCAGCCTCAGCAAGACTTTGTGTTTAAAGCTAATTAGCATGTTACCCCACTAAAAGTAAACTGCAATAGTGAACATGGTAAACTAGATAACAGCATGTTAGCATCGTCATTGTGACCATGTTAGCAGGCTGACTTTAGCATTTAGCTCAAAGCACTGCTGTGCCTTAGTATAGCCAGAGCTGCTAAAGTATGTATTATTTGTGGCTTTCAGTGTGTATTTCATGTCACAGATGAAACAATTCAGTGAGGGGTACACATCAAGGATCTCCTACCTGCAAGAAAGGTTTTGTTTTCAAGCCTTTAACTTCATTTCTTCAGTATTCGTATACCAAATGTTAGCATAGGCCTATTTACGCTGCATTAGGCAGCCAGTTATATTATTTGTAAAAGCTAATTGGCAATTACAGTGAAAAGGTTCCCCTCATACTTGCAGGTAATGAGTCTTCTGAGAAACAATCACTCATATTTCAGTGCTGAACAAAAATATAGTGCCACATGTCTCTCTGTCAACATGTCCATTATGTGATTCATTAGCTCGTAATTCTGACAAATTAGCAATGCATGTGCAACTCTCTCCAAACATTTGTCACATATGGTATATGTTAGCCTTCTCTATCTAATGTTTCATTATCTAAATGTCTCGTGAGAGCTCAGCTGGATTCTTTCATCCCAGATTTCTCTTGTCAAGGTGCACTCAAGACATGAATCTGCATACAGATTGTCCTTTTAGCTCTTTTCATTCTCATTTACTTTACAGGAAAGGGTCTGTGGTGCACAGTTGGAGGCTCCATCGCAAGCGTCACTCTCTTTCCTTCATACTTTACCTCACCTCTTCCCTCTGCTGCACCGCTCCGCTTTCTTCCTGCGAGTCTGACCCAGCTGGCATTACATTATATATCAGAAAAGCTCCCGTTGAACACAAAACCACAGCAGGCCATGAACAAAACGCCCTGCAGAGTACGGCCTCGCTCTCCTGATTTGCAGGGATGCACCGATATCGGTCCGGACGTAATTAGCTGGTTCAGATATCGGTGACAATGGGGCCAATCTATTCAATTCAACTGTTCAATGTTTAACTACTTCATTATATAGTGGAATCTTATTTACTGTGAGTTTGGACCAAATTCTAGCTACATTTAAATCACTTAAGCTCCTTTTCATTTTCAGCAAGTTGCTGGTGAATTATCATTTTTAACAATAAATAATAATAATAATTGAATAACAATTCAATAAATGTATTTATTTGTTATGTTTTACAGAGTTAGGAAAGCAATGTTGAAGTCATTGATTTGCCTTGCACATAAAATAATGATCGCAGTCACTTCCACATAATTAGGCATACAACTTATGAATTAAACACTTGGATCGAGTCGGCATACGGTATCTGCAGATCCCCAAAGCCCAGGTATCACTATCGGGACTGAATAAGTCGGATCGGTGCCTCCCTACTGATGCGCACCTTCACTGCAACATACTGTCTTTGTACACAACTCCAAGTGAGGTGATGCTCACATAAAGATCAGAGATTCAAGGCTATAGGATCAGGAGATGTGTATGACTTGCAAGTGTAATACCTGCAAAAGTATGAGTGCCCGGAGGGGAGGAAATTCGAAAGAATAATTAACAGTTAGAATTATATTTTTGTCTAAAAAAAGTAGTAACACTACAGTTAAAGTATTTTATATATATATATATATATATACTGTACGTATATCTATATAGATATAGATAGATATATTTACATATGTGCTGCAACGCTAAACATAGATGCAGTGGTTTACAGCAGAGACACAGCAATCCAGCACCAACAGTCACTGAATTACATTTCATTTTCAAAAATATCACTCATTAAGGGGCTGATTGTGATAAAAAAAAAAATGTAACTGAGTTCTATCTATTTCTGTGCCTTGCAGTGATGCAACACACTGTCAATTCAATATGTTGAAAATGTAAAATTCTATTAAATGTCCATTAACCAATCAACTTTCAGTCAGTTGATCAGTAGATGGTCTTGTCTCCATCTCTGAAACGCTTCACCCATATCATCAGACTGTCTTGTTGATAAGTCAGTCTTCCTTTTTAAGGTTGCTTTGCCATGTAGGGAGCGTTTTCTTGCACAATATTCCGCCGTTGAATCAGGAGTTTCTGTATTTGCAGAACCGCCAATTGGAACGCCCTCGCTCTGACATGACCTGTGATTGACCAAAGTCTCTAATCACCGGCTAGATTCTCTAAAGCCTGAAAACAGAGCCAAGAGGAGGTGCAGAAGTCATTCTCTCAGACCACTTGAATTATAATATTGTGATTATGGAATTGTTGCCCAATGATGCTAAAAATATACTGCCTACGCTAGCTTTAATGCTCACAGTCACTGTAGCTGTCTCAGGGTAGATCTCTACAAATCTCAAGCCAGCTTATTAAAACATGCACATTTGAAGTGGGCAAAAAATTGCAAAACAGACTGATTGTATAAATTCCTACTAAATGTAGTCAATAATGGAAATCAAAACCGAAGGACCAACTACAAAGTTTAGTAGGTGAATTTCTCTAAAGCTGCGTCTAAACTAAAAGATCAACTCCACTGATAACTTCTGTATTTAAGCTTTTTTTGTTCTGTAGAGAGTGTCCTTAAGTGTGAGAAAATAACAACGATGATGGATCTCAGATTGGCATTTAGAAAAGAAACAGAAAGCTTATTTCATGAACTGTCGGTGTGGAGTATTCTTTTCTTTAATCTGTGTCCCCCAAGGTCCACCCATTGTATGGAAGGGCAGTACTAAATCAGCTACAGTGTGGTGCAAAAAAGAACGGAAGACGTCACATAAACCTGCTGCTGACAAGAACCTGTGGTGACAAAAGTCTATGCAGCATTCTTTCCTTTCCATATTATTATATTACTTTACCTTAGTTTGTCAAACAAAACGTAAAACCTTACATAAACCTAATGGGCTGGTCATAAAGTTAATTATTGTCAAACTGAAAAACACTGATCTGAGGAGTGCATGCACTAAACAGGAACTTAAGGCAGACATTCTTTAAAAGGTTATTATCAGCCTGGTAATGACCCGTGTGGAATCACTGCCCCCCCTTGTCTAAAATGGATGCAATGGAGTAGAAGCTGACTGCAAACCATGACGTCACACTATAGATTTGTACAACTGGTATTACAGTAAGCACATTTTTAGCCTCTTGCAGCTCATTGTATTGATTTAACGGTACCATATATACTGTATGGTACAGTCAGAGCCACCATAATCAACAAATTGGCAAACGTTTCCAGCAAGAAAGCTTAAGCAAATGACAGACAGATAAAGTTAAATTACTGACTACGCTTTCCTCATGAGTTGGTGAAGACCAAAAAACAAAGAGTAAATGATAAACGAACATTAGTCAGGTGGCCTGAAAGATTATTTAAATGAAAGATGACTACAACCAGCTCTCCGTCTTCTGCATGTGTAGATAGGAAACTTTTTGCAAACAGGTACGCCATCACTGTTCGTCACTTTGTTTGAATTTTTCTTTTTTCTCCCCAGTGGCCAAATATTTAATAATGCACCTTAAGGATTCCATTCTCTTTGACTAAACAAGCATTAAAGGTGCTGTATACAAGATTGGGAGCATTTTGCTTGGCTCTCAAATGTTTTCACAGCAACATAAATGACAAGATTTGTTTTAATCAATTAAAATACAATCTTTTATTTCCTAATAATCTGAACTGTGTGTTTTCATAGAGGAACACTATAGATGACTGTAACAAAGTAAAAGGATGCAAGTTTCACTGACTTCAGAGTGGTTGAAATTATTTTTGGGACAAATGGAGCCTTGTAGACCAACTGCTATAATCAACCAACAAAGGGATCTGTATCTTCCAATATGGATCATCAATGATCGGCGATTAGTATCGTCAGCAAAAAAACAAAGTTATAATTGCTCCCTTTTTTCTTTTGTGCTGATCCGATATTTGATCCCATCCGTGACTCTGATCCGTGACATTACTCCACTATATTTACATAGCAAATAGTTGTTTGCTGCTATATTAATGTATAAAATGTAGCACCTTTAACTGAATGGTAATCAGAGTAACCTAACAGAAAAGCTTCAGTAATAATCAGTTTGGGGTAAATTGATTCGATCAAAAATTGAAAATGTGAATCGGGCTCTTTAATTTGGGGCAGAACAAATAGGATTTAAACACCTGCAATGTTACAGAAAACCAGTGTCACCTAAAAAAATGTCATCCCTCCACTCTTTTACTGAGCAAATCATCATATTTAAGCTATTACATAAGCAAAGTAACTCCAATGTAACATTAGACTTTGGTATGGTAATCAGTCTCAGTAGCTGGCAGCTCTGCCTCATTCAACCTTAAAGGCAGCTTAGCGAGCCTCTTAGAAACCTGCTTACTGCAGGGCATGTGAGGAAATGAACTCTGCTAAAGAGGTACTGTGGTTTAGGTTGATCTCTGAAACATACCCAAACTAACGCGCACACAGAGATTGTTTCAAGGTTACAGTGCATCAGTGGTGGGCCGCCAGGGTCAGCAAAGCCTTCTCAGAATCACAAATTTATAGCCATTTTATAATTTAATAATTTTTCATAAATGTATTCTAATTATTTTTCCCATTAGCTTATTTTCTAATTGCACAGCTACTGTCTTCCTCAGTTGCTCTGCAGCCTGCAGCGCTGCTTCCAGTGCAGCTTGTTTTAAGGACAGCTTTTGTCCAATCAGATTTCGCCCCTATTGCTCTATGTAAGAAGAGAGGCCCGAGGCCCGCTTGGAAGCCTTTGCAGTTTAAGTAAATGGGGACGATATTGTTGATTGTCATAGTCTTCAACCAATCAGAGCTTTAGTTTGACATGTTGGGCGTATTCTTTGACATGTCAGAGCTGTCTAGGTGGCCTAAAAGTACGTCAGCATTAACGTGCAGAGTGATTGGTCAGTGGGCTATCATCACTCAAAGCAGTTTCTGACCAACTCCCTTCAATATAACCCAAATGGAAATGGACTTGATTAACATTTAAACTTGCTCTTAGACATCTTCAAATTCACTCACTGTAAACCCCTTTTGTTTCCTTATCACTCTTTTCATGAAGGGAAACAGAATACTCACCTCGCAGGGCCGGGAGCAGCGAGCGGTCTTTCCTATCGTCACATTTGTTACACTCGCTGAAGTAGAGCAGCAAGAACACATCCACCAGCACCCACACTAAAGAGGTGGTCAGCACCACCTTACAGTAGGCAAACCGTCGCATCACCTCCCCGGGACGTCAGCCAGGAAATGGAGGGTCACAGCGAGTGCTCAGGAGCGCTCAGCCTGTTGATGAGGCGTTTCAACTCTGGAGACTGGGTGAGGAAACAGGGAGGAGATAGAGCAGGTGTGACCAAGAGGCGTCATCCTAAAAGAGAGAGAAAACACTGAGTGAGAAGGTGGAATTCTAAATCTAATGACGACAGGAATCGCGATCATTACTCTAGTGTACATGCTGTCATTCGGGACGAAAGTCAATCATTAAGGCCAGGATAACCTCAAACTATCAAAGTAGAAATAAACATAATTTCAGCAAAATCTGTTAGGAACCACATTTAAGGTGGATCAATATTCGCCTCGTGTGAAAGTAATTTGTTTTCACCTTTATCCAGACTTCACCTTTATGCATTTTAGAGCTCTACACAATCAGTGATTACAGCATTTTCCCATTTATTTATTAAACTTTTCCAACGATTATGTTAGTGGAATGTCACATTACACAAAAGGTAGAATACATTTGAGGTTATGAGTTAGATTTGGTACAGATGTGCAGTTGAGTATGTTAGAGAACTGTGTGTTGTACTTGTATACAAGTACAACACTGCTTCAACAGAGTAAACTGTTTCAACAGTGTCATCATAAAATGTATCAGTTACATTCATTAAGTCATGGTGGTTTGTAGAGCCACAGCAACCCCTGGCATCATGTTACTGTACATCACATAAAGATGATCCCAGTAAGTTCCACTGCAGGGAGGTAAGCAGCTTTGACATTTAGGGAAACAAATTAGAGAACTGGTCTCAAATCAGAAATCAGTATCGGCAGATACCCTGAGTTAAGGTGAAGTGAAAAGGTGGGCTTGGCGCGTCCTATTTGACCAATATATGCCCAAAGTGAGACAGTTTACAGTTAAGAGTGTATGTAAAGCGGTTGTTTGGCATTTGTGTACTGCAGTTTGTTGTTAATTATCTCCTCGCATTTACACCAATACAATGTGCGATGAGAGACAGAGAGAGAGAGACAGAGAGAGAGAGAGAGAGAGAGTATAGAGTACAGAGTATAGAGTATAGGAAAATACATTATTAGGCCAAACACACCTCATATAAGAGCTGCAAGCAAAGTTGGCAAGTAGTATTGTTGCTTTGGGAAAAACAAGGCACTTTGTGGATCATAATGGTCACACACTATGAATTTAAAAATAATCAACTCATATTATCACACAGTTTACACAGTGTAAAACAGCACACAGTGCAATTTAGCCTCTGTATTTAACCCCTATTTGTATTAGGAGCAGCTACTATACTGCTGCCCGGATAGCAGTTTGGGGGCGTCGTGCCATGCTTAAGGGCACCTTGGCTGTGCTCGGGTAGCACACTGGCGCCTGTCCAGCCCACACTCCTTACTTGGTCTGTGCTGGGACTTGAACCGGCCAGGTCCCTCGGACTGAGCTACTGCCGTTCTCTGTATTTGTCACTTGTATCACTGTATCTGAATTACTGTGTGGCGGTGTAAGGGTAACACCGAGACAAGCACAGTGCACGCATTAATGAGTACTACAAAAATCAACCATCAGGATAGTAAACAATGTAGGATATTGAGAACACACTTTACAGTCACACACTTTGAAGTTCATAGATCTGGTAGATTTAACGTCACAACTTAAATACAAAGCAATATTGCTGAATTTATTAGCGTTATTTAAGTTATAGAAACGGGTCGGCCCACATAAGTGTTTATTTCTGCCTACTCCTTTTCACACATATATTTATTTATTTGCACTACATGTACTGTTTTTACATTTTAATGGTAGTTCTTGTTTTGTTTTGTTATTATTCTTTTTATTATGTTCAAAATCAATCTACCAAATATTGGACGATATACTGGTCCAAATGATTTATCTGTAAAGCTCTAATACCTATATGTTTAAATAATAATAATAATGCCAACTTGAGTTTGTAAAGGTTGGTACCAGAAGACGGTGACCGGCAGGAGTGAGGTCCACCTCCGGCTTTATTTCTCCTTTTTTTATTTAACAGAGTTTTTCTTATCTTTGGTATTTTCTTTATTTTAAAAGGGGGGTTACGAGTGTTATTGCCTTTGGTCGCACACAGAACTTCAGGGTGATGGTCCATAGGAGGTCACACCAACTTCCTATATTGGACTGTCCCCCCAAAGCCTCCACATTTTTCCGTTTCAAAGCATTGCTCATTTCCCCTTTACAGACTTCTCCCACTTCATCAGTAGTGCTGCTCAGACCATCTGGGAAGCTTTCACACCAGAGGCAATTTGTGGAGGTTAGATATCTCATTGGCATGGAATGTATGCCTCACAACATTTCTGATGAAAAACAACATCATTTTCTGTCAAATAGGATTTCTACTTGACTGAAATTATAGGTTTGTGTTGACTGAAAGGCTTATGAAAGTATAATCACAATGGAACTGGGATGATGGGGAAAAAAATGCTCAGCCACAGAGAATCAAACACAAAAATACCCTTAGCCCTTTTGCATTCAGAAATATATCCGCTACAATATACATCACACAGTGCAGTACATATACCTTAGTGTGCATTTAACCGCAAATGCATATATGTAAAACAACTTACCCCACCTTTGACTTGTCTGACTTGTGGAAAATGCCTGAAGCATCCCCTGTGGGGAATCTGACAGTTTCCCTTATCTTTCACTTGCAGCATAGTAATGATTTTTGCACTCCACACACACACACACACACACACACACACACACACACATTGTCCTCTCCCCTCCCTGTCTAAATGTCCATCACAGGTTCTGACACCGCTGCCCTGGGCTAACTCTTATCTCATTCAAAAACAAGGCAGCCTCTGTCCAGCTGCATCAAGAGCTTCAGACTCAGATCGCAGCGCGGCGGATGATTTCAGAAAGACAGAATTCACACAACTTTCACTGACATCTAACCAGAGTAGATGGACATCATCTAGACTTCTAGATAATGAGTCTAATCAAGACCAAAGTCTCAGTATAGTAGCATATCACCTCAGCTCACATATCGTAAACAGATCTATGATGATTAAGTCTGATGATGTCTATTTGCATCTCAAACCATCTGCTTTGGTGCGTCAGTGGCAGTGACATGTTTGGGTTTGGTACCACCAACCGCGCTGCTGGCGGCTCGCTTGAGTCACGTCCGAAGAGGTCTGAGTCAATTAGTCAAACCATCTGCAAAGAGGAATATTTCTTCACTGCTGTGCACGGCGCTAAAAACAAGTCCCTTCAGTCTTTACACGCCACTTTTTCCAGTATTGTCCAGACAAGTGTAAACCACCAGCAGGCATTATTAATTGCTTCATGGTGTGACAGTTCTGTTAGCAACTCCCTTTGTTGTGAAATGTCTGGTGCAGTGCTATGTGCCAAATTATGTATTCCTCATTTATTCAATAGGAGCAACTATGCAATTTGCTAGACTGTTAACTAATTGCTGTCCACAGCAATACAACTGGACTTGACATTGAACCTTGGCAGTAATATGAGCGCAAAACATTTGATGACAAAGGCGAAATAAAAGTGAAGCGATCCTGCTCCTTAACCACGAATTCACTCGTGTGTGACCAAGGCAAGGCAGTTTTCTGACATGGACAATTGAGGGATTGAGTGCAATTTTGGTGCCTTGCTCATTGCCACTTTAGAGAGAACATTGATATGCTCAGACCTGTCAGGGTAGGGATTCGAACCAACAACCTTCCAGTCACCTGCTGTCTCCGCTGTGACAAGCAGAAAGTGTAGCTCAATACTTTTTGAGTGCAGAACAAATTGTGTCCGTGCCATTAAGAGTTGGAAAGTGTTGAAAGTTGGCACTGAATGATGTGTTGTATAATGCACGTTGACCAAACAAATTTAGAAAAAATAACTAAAATACTAAAAACGAAAATAAATTTGGATTGCTCCCTTGCTTGGTACTAAACACTCATATACAGTATAGGTACCATGTTAGCATTGGCATCAGTATTGAACTATGCCAATCTGCCATACAGCAGGAACAGGAGGTGATTATAGAGCTGATCCCAATAAGCCCATTAGGCCAATGACTCCAGCTTCTTTCTAACCCAAACACAAAACGATTACATTTACCACTTCTAAAGGTGTGATACACAGTCAGCTGTACTGTACACACACATGTGCATGTATAGATTAGATAGTGATTATACTATCATTGTGCGATGTGACAAGAGATGGAAACAAACATTGTAATAAAAGCAGTGAAGAGCCAATGAACACAGATACTAAACACAAGGTTACCTTGAATGGGAAAGTATCCATTGAATCTACTGACATGTTGTGTGAAGCAGTTGAACAGCGATATTATTTGCCTTATGGAGGGTGTGCACGCGACAGAAGATGAGGATACTCTCTACTTACCTAAATTATGGATGGAGTGAACCAGTGACCTGTTCCAGCTTCCTCTCAGGCAACGTGTTGAACGCAGACAACATGGCCCGATATACTGTGCAATTAGTAATGTGAATCAAACTGGGCGAATAGCTCCTGCGAACGCACAACGTCTCGGATCGATGCCTAAGTTGCAGTCCATCTCAATACAGAGTAGTCCATAATGCAGTGGGATGCTGTCCGTCCAGTAAAGCCTCCCGTGGTACCTGTTTGGACTCCTTGATATGATCTGCGCCTAGTTGAGCCGCAGTAAACCGGCGAACGCGACCAGATCTCCATTCATTTTTCCCCAATTCGTTTTACCGCAGATGCAACGTATAGTCTCTGCACGCACCTGCTCTCCGACTGAATATGTTAACGGTAGAAGGACAGGGCGAGATAATATTCTGCACAATCTAACCTCAGCTCAGACCGACCTTCAAAAATGTCTCGTTTCTGCTCTCTGATTGGCTGAAAGCGACGTCGCTCATGAAATCCTCTCGCAGTGGACAAGCACGAGCGTCTCGTCCATGTAGGCGCGTACACCGTCCATCGCAGGCAGAATGCAGTTACTAGCACAGCGATTTTAGTGTAAAACATGCAAACATTTTACATTTTGAATTTATTTCTGTTTAGAAGGGGGAGGGAAACCTAACCGTATTACACCTGTGATTTAATTTCAGGTATAAGTTGCTTTTCATTTAGCTTAGGGCGACTAATAACATCATATTCTGACCCAACGTAGATAGTTCTTTATTCATACAGTTAGCTAGAATAATGAATGTTAATATATGTTAAAATACTCTACATTACTTCCTGGTTTGAGTTTTCACCTGATGCATATAAGAAATCCCCCTGGGAGTCTTAACACTGTTGATGTTTGTTTTCACATTTATATAAGAAGGGAGGCAGTAGGTTGAAATAGACTAATTCATTTAAATTGTGAGATTGACACTGCTGTCTACATAGTAGCTGTTTTAAGGCAGGCCTTTGCAGAATCATGTTGAACAATGCTGCCATCTACTGCTATGGATGAGAGACATTCACGGTTGCATTGGTCTCTGGGCAATGTAGTAGCCTAGATCAAATGTAAGCCGATAGCATTTAATTAACATTCAGCAGTTCATAACTCTGATGTACTTTCAATGAAGTAAATTACCTTTTTATTTTAAAGCTGGGACTGTCATTACATTTAAATCAACTATAATTCAACAGCTGATTAATACTACTGTGGTAGATGCACTGTGAGATAAGGCTAACTAACATTCATGATTGCATATATACTGTAGATAAACAAACCTTGTGTCAACAACAGACTCAAAGCATCCACTAGATGTCCTAGTTCCTCTTTGATCCAGAGCCTCACGGCTTTGTGCAGCTGAGCAATTATAACTGATGTCTAATTATAATATGTTAACCACCAATATCTAAAGCACGTCCCTCTCATTGTCGTTGGTTAGCTTTACTGGTTCTGTATGGAACACAGTAGTTATTGGCACATTAGTAGGAAAAGCGCAGGTCTAAATAATAAAATGAATGATGGCTGAATTATATTTAGTTGCTTCAGTTTCAGGGTCCTGAGTCACTGTCACAATCACAGGAACTATTGTGTGTGTATGTGTGTGTGTGTGTGTGTGTGTGTGTGTGTGTGTGTGTGTGTGTGTGT